TCCCAAGTCCCACAGGACTGTACCAAACAAAGAAGCAGTTGTTAAACACTCCCCACAGCTGTTCCCCAGGGCTCAATGCACATGCAACAGGCAAAGGTGGCCTTTTCCCAGTTTCTCCCTGGAAGGGCTTTGAATGCACAATTTCTACATCTGAATGCTGACTGGGACCCTCCTGGGAGCCCTAAACACCTGGTGGGTCCTTGTTCCACATTCTGCCTCTGGCTCATTTCAACAGCAACAACAACAACAGACAAGTTGCCAGCTTCTTCCTGGAAGGAAGGCATCCACACATAAAGTGCTCCAAGTTTTGGGGGCGCCTGGGTGGCTTAGTCGGTTGAGTGTCCGACTTTCGCTTAGGTCATGATCTCGCGGTTCGTGGGTTCGAGCCCCGCGTCGGGCTCTGTGCTGACTGCCAGCTCAGAGCCTGGAGCCTGTTTCAGTCTGTGACTCCCTCTCTCTCTGACCCTCCCCTGCTCACGCTCTCTCTCTCTCTCTCTCTCTCTCCTAGAAATAAATAAAACATTAAAAAAATTTAAAAAATAAAAGTGCTCCAAGTTTTGTAGTTGCCACCCAAGGGACAGGTTCTGAAGTCACTAACTCTAATAGCCACCAGGGCTTGGCATTGAGAAGTCCTGTAGGACCATATTAAACAAAAAAAAGTAGTTTTTAAAAGGGCACACAAACACTTTTTGCAGCTCTCCCTTCCCTTGCTCAGTACAGAAGGAAGAGGAAAAAAACATTCAACTCCTAGTTTCTCCCTAGAACACATTTGACTGTATAGTTTCCTGGCTGCTGCGTGAGGTTCTGGCTTCTAGTTAGACGGCATCTAGGAGCAGACTGGGATCCTCTTAGGAGCCTGAAAGAGCTGGTGGCATGTCCCCTACCATCTGTCCTCAACTTTTCTACCAGGAAAACTGAGTCTCCAGCTTCTCCCTGGAGGGAGTACGTCCACTCATGTAGCACCCAAAATGTTATAGCTGCCACATGAAGGACTAGCTCCTGAATGATCTAGCTCTGAGGCTGACAGTGTTCAGCATTTACAAGTCCCCCAGGACCATACAAACAAAGAGATGAGTTTATGGATGCACAAGAACCTCTAGCAACTTTTCTCTAGCTCAGCCCAGAGTAAGCAAAAATACCCAGTTCCCAGTTTCTTCCTGATAGGGACTAGACTATACATCTAATATCCTGACTTTCCCAGCTGCTGCCTGAGGTCAGGCTTCCAATTAACCTGAATGAGTGGGATAATGGGGCAGACAATTAATAGTCCATGAAGCTGAAAACGCATGAGGGCATTTCCCATATCTTTGGGATGATAATGGATCTGGATACACCCCAATCTACTGGGCCCCTTAAGAACAAAGGCAGCAGAATGGACAATTACAAAGATTATAAAGCAACAATAATCTCAGGGTAGGCTAAGTGAAGAGGCTGATCAATTACACAGGTCTAGGTAGTCAAGACTGGAAGGGTGTCTATCTCATCTAATGCACAGAAAACAATACAGAAAACTAAGGAAAATGAAGAAATGGAGAAATGTATTCCAAACAAAAGAAGAAGATAACTTTTTGGAGACCAACCTTAATGAAATAGATATAAGTGATTTACCTGACAGAGAGTTCGAGATAATGGTCATAAGGATGCTCCAAAATCAGGAAACCAATGCAGGAACAAAGTATGAATTTAAATAAAGAGATGGAAAATATTAAAAAGCTCCAAACACTAATCATAAAGCTAGAGAATAGAATAACTTAAGTAAAGACTTCAATAGAGGGGTTCAATGGGAGACCTGATCAAGTAGAAGGGAAAATCAGTGAGCTCAAGTCAAGGTGGTGAAAATCATCCAATCAGAGAGCAAAACAGGATGAAGATAGCTTAAGGGACATATAGGATACCATAAGTGGACTGATATATGCAGTATAGGTATCTGATAAGAAGAGAAGAAAAGGGACAGGAAACTGATTCAAAGAAACAATGGCCTAGACACCCCAAATCTGAGGAGAGAAACAGATATCCAGATTAAGGAAGCTCAAATATTACCAAAGAAGATGAATCCAAAAGATACCCATGCCAAGACACGCCATAATTGTATTGTCAAACGTTAAAGAAAATGAGAGAATCTCAAAATCAGCAACATAAAAGTGACTTGTTATGTACAAAGAATCCCCCATAAAACTATCATCGTATTGTTCAGCAGAAACCTTGGAGGCCAGAGGAGAGTGGGATGATATATTCAGAGTGCTAAACAAAAACAGCAACAATAAATAAGAAACAGCCAGCCAAGAACACTCAACCCAGCAAAATATCCTTCAGAACTGAAAGAGAGAGATTTGCCCAAACAGAAGCTCAAGGAGCTCATCATCACTAGATCGGCCATACAAGAAATGTTAAGGGGAGTTCCTCAAGCTGAAATGAAAAGATGCCAATTACTAATATGAAAATACAGGAAGGTATAAACCTCTCTGTCAAACGTAAATATAGAGCTAAATTCAGGATATGCTAATATTGTAATGATGATGTGTAAATCATTACAACATAAGTATAATTTCTGAGAGAGAGAGAGAGAGACAGCGTGAGCAGGGGAGAGTCAGAGAGAGAGGGAGACACAGAATATGAAGCAGGCTCCAGGCTTTGAGCTGTCAGCACAGAGCCTGACAAGGGACTCAAACCCACGAACCGTGAGATCATGACCTGAGCTGAAGTCGGAAGCTTAACTGACTGAGCCACCCAGGCGCCCTGATAATATTGTATTTTATATTTGAAGTTTGCTAAGCTAGAGATCTTAAGCATTCTGACCGAAACAAAACAAAACAAACCAAACCAGTAACTGTGAAGGGATGATAAGTTAATTAACTTGACAATGGGAATCCTTCCACAACATTTACATATGTCAAATCATCAAGTTGTGCACTTACACATATTATAATTTTATTTGTCAAATATATTTCAATAAAGGTGGGGGGGGAAAGAAAGCCATATTTTGTGGATGTTTGAAGCTCCCCTATGCATTCACAGGACTCAGCCCACCCACAGATGCAGTAGGTAACTCTGATAGAGAGACAGTAGTAACAAAGATGTTCCCAGTCACTTCTGCTTCTTGGGATGCACCGGTGACTTGTGTTAACCAATAGGACACCGCAGAGTGAGGCCGTGCCAGTTCTGGGCCTAGCCTTTAAGAGGACTGGCAGCTTCTGCTTCCTAAACCATGAACACTTGCTTTGAGGACCCTGAACCACCTTACAGGAAGCTCAGCTCTTCTGTTGGGGACAGCGAAGGGATGGGCCACTTGGATGCTGCGTTATGAGGAAATGACCTGAAACCACTTGGGGAGCAATAGAGGACCAGCTGTTTCCATGTCCCGTTGAGCCTTCTGATGACGCTGCTACAGCCGTGTCTGACTTTGACCTCACTGGAGGCCCTCACACGTAGTCAGCAGTCAAGCCAGCCCAGTCAACCCACAGAACCATGAGAGAGAATAAACACGCTGCTTTAAGCGTTAAGATTTGGGGTGGCTTGTTCCACAAAAGGATAGTTTTACCAGAGACCGTCTATCCCATGTGACTGAAAGTGAACCAGAGAGCTCCCCAGTCTCACAGTGTCTGTCGGGTCATGGGATGCCAAGTTCCCAGGGAAGGGAGCGTGGAAAGGGGAAGTTGTTGAGGAAGGAGGGGCGGGGGGGGGGGGGGGCGGAGGGAAAGCGCTGGAAGAGAGCAGCAACTGCTCGCCAGTGTTAGCGGGAACAGCTGCGTTTGGGCCAATGGTTCCGATGCTGTTTTACAGGTTTTAGCTTTCCCTTAGGTGAACCCAAGTTTTGAAACAGTATGCCATTGTAGTGTTCGCCAGAATGAGGCCAAGGGTACACGTTCATTTCTTCCGCGGTTATTTGGATTGTGTTTCCTGTTTAAAGACCCTTAACTCTGGACATCTACAGGTGCAATCAGCTCCAAGGGAGTCCAGGCCAGAGCCACAAGTTGGGGCTACTGAAAATGCGCGTACTTGTTTTTTTTTGTTTTTTTTTTTTAATTTTTTTTAATGCTTTATTTATTTCTAGGAGAGGGAAAGAGAGACAGCGTGAGCAGGGGAGGGTCAGAGAGAGAGGGAGTCACAGACTGAAACAGGCTCCAGGCTCCGAGCTGGCAGTCAGCACAGAGCCCGACGCGGGGCTCGAACCCACGAACCGCGAGATCATGACCTAAGCGAAAGTCGGACGCTCAATCGACTAAGCCACCCAGGTGCCCCAAAAAACGCCCGTACTTGTATCTTACCTCATAGAGTCAGAAAAATCATTGTCACGTAGGTCAGACAGGGTATTTTAAGGACTCATTATTTCATATGGTAAGATATTTTTCTCTTCATGTCAAAAAAAATGAACCATTTAAAATTTTATTTGTTTCCTTTACATTTAAATCATAAGGGTTTTTTTTGTTGTTGTTGTTGTTGTTGTTTTTAAGATAGGCATGAAACCTAGCCAGGTCTATAAATGGCTTAAAAAAGTAATATCTCTTTTACTAGTGTGTATAGGTCTTTAAAAATTTTTTTTAAATGTTTATTATATTGAGAGAGGGAGAGACAGAGTGTAAGGGGGGGAGGGGCAGAGAGAGCGGGAGACACAGAATTCGAAGCGGCTCCAGGCTCTCAGCTGTCAGCACAGAGCCAGCTGTGGGGCTTGAACTCCCAGACCTTGAGATCATGACCTGAGCTGAAGTCGGACACTTAACTGCCTGAGCCACCCAGGTGCCCCAGTGTGTATAGGTTTTTTTTTTTTAAGTTGTTTATTTATTTTTTAGAGATACACGTGCTAGTGTGAAGGGACAGAAAGAGAGGGAAATAGAGAACCCCAAGCAGGCACCGAGCCTGACGCAGGACTCAAACCCACAAACTGCAAGATCATGACCTAAGCCAAAATCAAGAGTTGGACGCTTAAATGACTGAGCTGCCAGGTGCCCTAGTGCGTATAGGTTTTAACAGAACTATAATGAAGCATGCTAACTACATAAACATTACTTGATATAGCATTTTTAATCATTGTGAAAGATAAGCCATTTCCTTGTTGGTTCTTGATATTTCCCACACATCTGAATAAATAATAGCCATCATCTCACCGAATTGTAGCACGGAGTTACATTATGAAAGTTTCATATATAAAATTTTATTATCTAATAGAAAAAAGGGAAACAATGCAAACTATTAATATTTAAACTAGCTATAAAATACATTGCCCTCTCTAAATGGCTCCATATCTTTAAGAGCGCTTCCCATGTCTTTGAATATTCAACTCTAGTAAATGTCACAGCCAAAGAGCTCCAAGCGCAGTGCAATACTTTGGTTCCACGTTTTAGGAATGATGCGGATAAACCTGGAGATAATTGGTGGGTTGAAAAAATTCTTCACGTGTCCTTTGATATTATTATTTCCTTCGAAAATCTGAAAGCAAAATACAAGAAGATCTTTGATGATGATATAATGGATATAAAAATCTCATAGATTATTTTTTTAAAAAACAATTCCAGTTCAAGCTGAGGGCATCAAAGAACACAGACAACATGATCAGAGATGATCTTCAGTCAATTATGAAATCACATGCCTAAAAGACTTCTTTAGGGATTCTACCTCACCAATGATCTGAGCTGGAAAAATAAAGAAATCTGACGTCTGACGCCATCCCTTTGTAGCTGTGTGACAACTTTGGGCAGGTTACTTATATTCTCTGATTCTCCATTTCCTCATTGGCAAAATGGGGATAATAAAAGTTTACCTCACAGAAGGTGTTATAAAGGCTTTTTGGTATGTAAACATATGACAAGTGCCATTTAAAATAAAATGCAACCACGTGGTTTTACTTATTCTTTTTGGCAAATGCCTTATAGCCTCAATTGAATTGTGTTTTTTGCCCTTTTTTTTTCCTTTTTGCATTCCTAGCAGGTTCCCCAAGATACACGGGAAGCTAAATCATGATTTGTTTATGACAATGATGCTTACCAAGCTAGAAAGGCATCCTGTACAGTGACAGAGATGAAACAAATCAAATCAACCAACCAACCAACCAACCAACCAACCAGACACACACCCAGGAGTTTAAAAAGAGAGAGGTTCAAACTCATTTGCTGAGATGAGAGCTGAGACCAAGTGTTCGGTAAAGGTCATCCCCTTTTCCTACGCTGCCCCTCCACCTGGCCCCAGCCTGATGTCCATTCCTCACATATTAGGCTCATCTCCTCAGTTTTGCCCCAGCAGCATTTTAACACGACCTGACGGGGAATTCAGGAGTATAATGATGTAGTTCATCTTGCAGGAAATTAGTTTGCTCCTCAGTGAGGCTAACAATTGTCTCCTGCTTAATAATGTGATACAGAAAGCTTTGGGGCATGGGTATTTGATCATGCTAACATGATGTTATATCACGGTGGGGAGTTTCTAGGCCCCTCTTATGGACTGCATGTTTGCATCCCGCTCAGATTCATACATTGACATCCTTACACCCAATGGGATAGTATTAGGAGGCGGGGCCTTTGGGAGGTAATTAGGATTAGAGTAAATCATGAAGGTGGGGCCTTAACGATGGGATTAATGTACTCATAAAAAGAGGGGGAGACACGGGATGTCTCTCTTTGCACAGAATTCTTAGAGAGGAGATGCCTGTCTGTGCCTATTTGCCAAATGCCAAAAAATATTTGCAAATGTGAGATACTTTTCTCATCAGAGCAGCTTTCAAATTGCTTTGTTTTTGCTGGGAAACCAGCCTGTACCTCGTCCGCCATGGAGGATTTCTGCCTGTAAGGTTTCCAATCCACTCCCTGGTCGCTGTAGTGGATGGTGTAGCTCTTGACGTACATTTCCGAGGACAGAGACTTGCAGCCCTGGGTTACAATTGCAGTTATTTTCTTGATTTTGAGCAGGTCAATTTGTAACCACTGCTTGTTATTGTTTGCCTGTGAAAATGAGGAGGACACATGAATGAGGCAGATGTTAAAACCTTTGATTGTTTTAGACCAAGATACTCAGAAATGTACAGAGCTCAAGAGGATTTCCTTTCTGTCTCATCCCTTAAGACCCCCTGTCTCCTAGAGGATTTCCCTATTCCTTCTTGTTTGTTGTCACAGATGTATATAAACTTTTACTGGAGTATTTCAGACATTGTACAATAATGTTTTACTTGTTTGTATCCTTTACTTCTTGAAGGTCTGGAGGAACATGTATTATTTTGTTTCCAGGAACTCACCATAATGCATAGCACACTGTTGGTGTCCAACAAGTATTGGTTGAATGAATACATAAATGAATCCTACTTGAGAAAGAATAGCATATTGCTAAGTTATCTGTAAATATTATTCTCTGAAACAAATTTGTGTAAATGCCATGAAGATATTGCTGATGGGTTATCAGGGAAAGAATCCCTGTATAGTACACTGCATAGTATCCAATTGAAGCTGTACTGGTGATATAGAATATAGATAGCTAGAGGGTTTTTGAAGGCATGAACATTTTTGTAGGTATGAAACAGGTAGAGACACCTCAGTCTGCCTGTGTACTTGCATTGGTCTGGCTTAGATTTTTAGCATCTCTAAAAAGACCTTTTATTTTTTTATTTTTTTTAAATGTTTTATTTATTTCTAGGAGAGAGAGAGAGAGAGACAGCGTGAGCAGGGGAGGGTCAGAGAGAGAGGGAGTCACAGACTGAAACAGGCTCCAGGCTCTGAGCTGGCAGTCAGCACAGAGCCCGACGCGGGGCCCGAACCCACAAACCGCGAGATCATGACCTAAGCGAAAGTCGGACACTTAACCGACTAAGCCACCCAGGCGCCCCTAAAAAGACCTTTTAAAGACATTTGATCCTAATAGAAGATTAAGTGAAACAGTTCAGACCTAGAATTCCAGATTTTAAAATGACAGCATTAAAAATTAAAACCAGCATTTCATCTTTGAAGCATTATATTATAAAGGCTAAGAGCAAATCATATACAGAGCAAAATATGTCAAAAAGTTGTAAAATACAGGGTAGGGTGACACAGTTATACCATGAAAACTTGGATGACATTGTCTCAACTTAATCTTTCATTTCTTATTATTTTATTTACATAATTATATTAGTATAATATAATACATTATTACTTTTGAAATTTTAACTTCTTCGGGTATCAGTTTCCCCCTCTGTGAAATTGCATAATGAGGTGTTTGGGTGGCTTCCAATGGTTGGAAGATCCACTTCCTGTTTTTCGGGAGAATGGGCTTCCTGATTCTGTCGCCAGACTAAGCTAAAATAATGCAATCTTCTTTGTGTGTAAACTTAAAAGTCTGAACCATATGCTTTGTAACCCCCTCACTGTTCTTATATTCTGTGGGTCTGTGATGGACTAGAAATGAGCTCCAAGATACAGGTGTCAGTTCCCAAGACTATCTGTACGGGGTCCAAGCTCTTCTATCTTCTCCACTCCCACCATATCTCTCCTTCCATTTCTGACAGCCTAATTTAGGGAAACGACCTGGAGTTCTACAGAGTCCAGGGAACTAGAATGTAGGTGTCTTAAGGGAGGGACATAGGAGGATAGAAAGTAAGGAAGGGTTAAGTTGACTGATAGACTTATTCTGATTTCTGATGCCACTGTAATTTTTCAAGCCTGTTGAAGAGTGCAATAAAAATGAGTCAATACTAATAGTTATCTGAAAAGCTAAGGCACTGGAATTACTCAGTGGGCTAATATTAGGAGCAATATTACTCTCTGAAAGATGCTTATTAAACTTAGGCCATTGATTTATAACCCTGGTTTTGCAGCATTTTACCATGCCTCCAATTGTCTAAAAGAATGTCACAAAGTTCTAAAAAATGGGAACATAAAACATTTAAATAGCACTATGAAGAAAATGAAAAAATATTGCTAAATTGTGAAAAAAAAAAAGAGAAGGTGTTGGAAATCTAAATCATTTATCACTAATTTAAGTTGTCTTAATTCAGAGCTGGCAAACTACAGTCCATGGGCCATATTTGGCTCCCTGCCAGTTGTTGTAAATAAAGTTTTATTGAAACACAGCTGTGTTCATTTATTTATTGTTTTTAGCTGCTTTCTTGCTACAGTGGCAGAGTTGAGTAGTTATGACTAAGAATGTATGATTCACAAAGTCTAAAATATTTATTATCTGACCCTTTGCAGAAAAAATTCACCCACTTCTGGTCTAAATCAAGACTAGACCAAAAACCAAGGAGATGATAACTTCTCTCTGAGCCAAAGTCAGAGCTAAAGCTATCAACAGACATCCTAGATTCTCAGACCTTGGATCATAATCTGCAGAAATAGGAGATCATATTCTTGCTTCCCAAGATGCCCATGTTCCCTGTAGTGAGGGCCTGTTGTTTTCTTCTGGAAGGCTGAGAGATCTCCCTTCATAGGCATATTTTACCTTGGCTTGCCAGGCATTCACACGGCCCTGGGCATTGAGACGGGCACGGAAGGGTTCCCAGTAATCTCCCCACCAAGATTTTTTAAACGAAGAAGCTGTGATTTGCTTGTTTTCTATCCTTCCACTTTCCATACCCAGCGGTGTGGAGCATCCTGTAAAGAGAAAAGCATTAATTATGCACCACCAGGATTCCCTACACGGTGTTTTGCACTGCAGAGGAGACAGTATTAACACTAAGTAACAACAAAACAACCATTGCCAACAATGAACATTTATTGACCACGTGGCAAATCCTATTTTTAGGCTCTCCAGGTATTATCTGATACTCTTCACTACATCTATTTTACAAATGAGAGAACAAAAGCAGAGCAAGAAAGAATAACTTGCCTGGAGTAAGACTACTAGAAGAATCAGAAACTAAACCGGAGCCCAGGAAGTCTGACACCAAATACTGTGTTCTAAATATTTAAACTCATTTTCCTCCTTCAGAGAGTCATGGAAATTTTGGTCTTTTCTTTGAAGTAGAAAATACCTCTAAACTATCTCAGTATATAAGAATATATTCTATTTTTCTTTCTAAAAAAAAAGCTACAAAGAAAAAGATCAGTGGGTCCTTGGTAGTCACATTCAGTATTTTATTTTTAACCTTTTGAGAGTGATTCATGTTATGCACCATATAGAATTTTGTCAAGATGTGAACTTGAATGTCAGGCTTCGAGGCTGTGCGGTGAATTTAAGAAGTACAACTAGTGAGTGAGCCCAGCCAACCACTCATCATCACCATATCTGTGACACTTTGTTCTTGTTGTAGTGATATCTTTCTCCATGAAAAAAAGTTAAAAAAAAAAGAATCTACTCTTAATAATTATATCGAGAAAGTGAAGAATTTTATTTTTTAATTTTTAAAAAAATGTTTATTTATTTATTTTTTAATGTCTTTATTTTGAGGGACAGAGAGTGAGCGGGGGAGGAGCAGAGAGAGGGAGACCCAGAATTCGAGGCAGGCTCCAGGCTCAGAGCTGTCAGCACAGAGCCCGACGTGGGGCTCAAACCCACAGACTGTGAGATCATGACCTTACCCAAAGTCGGACACTTAACCGACTGAGCCACCCAGGCGGCCCCAAAAAATGTTTATTTTTGAGAGAGAGAGAGACACGGTGCGAGCGAGGAAGGGACAGAGAGAGAGGGAGACACAGAATCCGAAGCAGGGTCCAGGCTCTGAGCTGTCAGCACAGAGCCCAACTCTGTTTGTGCAGGGCTTGAACTCACAAACTGTGACTTCATGACCTGAGCCGAAGTCAGATGCTTAACCGACTGAGCTACCCAGGCTCCCCAAGAAAGTGAAGAGATTAAAAACATTTTTAAAAAAATATTTATTTTTGAGAGACAGAGAGAGATAGAGCATGAGGAGGGGAAGGTCAGAGAGAGAGGGAGACACAGAATCTGAAGCAGGCTCCAGGCTCTGAGCTGTCAGCACAGAGCCTGACATGGGGCTCAAACCCACTAACTGTGAGATAGTGACCTGAGCCTAAATCGGATGCCCAACTGACTGAGCCACCCAGGTGCCCCGAAAGTGAAGAGATTTTTAAAAAGTAATGCTTCTTGAATAGAAAATAGATGTTTTGAACAGATTAACAGAGTCAAATGTCACATTTTAGAGTTGCTTGACCCTATAAACTGAACATGCTACCATTTACATCGTGTATCATAGAGAAAGAAAAAACAGTGACTTACGGAGCGATTTCAAGGACTGCTCCTGCCTATACAGAATTAACATTTATGTGGGAGATGTTACATACCACTGCTAACTAGGCTTCAACAAAGTGCCCACATCCATATCCCTCATGGTATCGACAGTATAATGGATACCATTATCTGCTTTGATAGGAAACGGATTCCAGGTTCAGCTACTTTCTCCACTGTGAGCTGTGAGAGACTGAGAACGTAGTGTAGCTCCCCCGCAGGTGGAGAAATGGCAAGTTTCAGGTGTGCTATGTATCGATCTCACCCCCCACCCCACCCCCCGCCGAGAGCCCTGGGGCAGCTTAAGATGGAGCTGAGTGTTAGCCAGGCCCTAGGTTGATTGCTGCCTTCTTTTACCACAGATTGAGGGATAGATATTATTTACTACATACACTTTGAAGTGAAAGAATTTGGAGAGCTCTGCTTTAAGAGTCAGCAAAGGAGAATAGTTGATAAGACTCTTAAACATCTTTGTTCCGTATAGAATTTTATTACGGCCATTTTTGATTACCTGGATTTATTTATATCACAGGTCATATTACAGCCCTTGAAAAATAACAGCTTACAGAGAAAGAGCTTGAGTACCTACATAGGGCGCCAAATGGAATGAAGCGTTCAATCAAAGTTTCAGGAAGTTGACAAGGAGTTGAGATTCATTGAAAACATTCATTGAACATCTAATATATGCAAGTGATGTTGTTAGGTTCTTCTGGGCGGGGCCTGAAGGACCATGGAAGAGTCAGGCCTAGTCTGAATCTTAGTTCTTACTGAAATAGGCTGCTGCGCTTATTCTAAGCGAGGGCCCTTCCTTGCAGGGTCAGGGCGGTGCCCATGCCATCTGGGCGCTGTTCCGAGACGGGCCGCCTGTGGCTGGTAGAACCAGTTTTGGTCTAGATCACAAGGAGAGTTCGCCTGAGCACAACCCGTTTCACCAAGGGTTTTCTAGGCACCCAAGTGATTGAAGAGAACTAAAAGTTCTAGCCATTCTTCCACATCTTCTTGCTCCTCTGAGGGGCAGTTAGAAAACAACGCATCTTAGCTCCTTACCGTTAAGCTCACAGCCGTGTAGCTCCAAGCGCAGGGCGGGTCTGTTGTAGGATCTGATTGGAGAGATCCTAATATATCTAGCCACAATAGGCGGGTCAAACTGATTCTCTTTTATTGTAGTGGCATCTGAATTGCCATCAAAACACTGGAGGAATGAAAAGAGGAAGGCTTAGTTATGTAACAATTCTCTACAAAGGGATTTCATAATAAAATTCTGGATTAATTTAATATTGTCATATTAAGTTTTCATGTGGCCTCAATTAAGTCTCCTGGTTTAAAAAAAATAATTGGAGATCACTTCACTTCAGGAAGATGAGGCAGACGTATTTTGCCTTGTTTCTTCCGTTGAGTGCTACTAAAATATAAGGAGCCTCGGAAAGGTGGAGAGAAGGTGGCAGACGGGCTGGGGTGCTTGGGACCCGAGAAGCAACATGGCGGTGGGTTCCTGGGCTTTCATTGTTGCCTCACATACCCCAGACTGGGAAGCACAGAAGCTGGCAACCAAGAAACACAATGGGTATAGCCAAAAAGAAAAAAAAAGAAAACCCCACTGAAAACCTGCCTTCTCTAGCTACAGGCCCAGGTAAGGGCAGCTCAGCAAGACAGAAAATTTTCGGACAATAATCAGTCTACATCCAGCTAAACATTATAGAAGGCGCTATGGCTCCTCCTCCACCCACAGCATCAAACGTCAAGTGGGGAGCCTAGTCTTCCATGCTCATGAGATTGTAATGAGGCACCCGGCACCCTCACTGGGATTGTGTCAGAGAAGGCCAAGTAGGAATCCAGGACTTGCATCCCCACCAGCTCCTAGTAAGGCTCCCACCACTGTAGTATCAGTGGGGACTATCCCGTCCCCACCCAACAGCCAAGAGGAGCTCCCCTTGAGTGGAGAACCTGGACTTGGGAAGAAGTTGGAAAGAGCCAGTTAAAACAGGAGATAAGAGCTGCAAGATTGAAAAACGGAAAAACAGTAGATAAACACAAGGAAACAGAACCAGTTCTTTGAAAAGATTTTTAAAAAGGCGAACATCTAGCAAGACTGACAAAGCAAAAAGAGAAGAGGTGCAAATTACCAGCATTGGATTCAACAGGCACTTTCACTGCAGACATCAAAAGGGCACTAAGAGTACAAACAGCTCCACACACATAAATTTAACAACCTAGAGGAAATGGATCAACTTCTTGAAAAACACTATCTATGGGGCGCCTGGGTGGCTTAGTCGGTTAAGCGTCCGACTTTCGCTTAGGTCATGATCTCGCGGTTCGTGGGTTCGAGCCCCGCGTCGGGCTCTGTGCTGACAGCTAGGAGCCTGGAGCCTGCCTCTGATTCTGTGTCTCTCTCTCTGCTCCTACCCCACTCATGCTCTGTTTCTCTCTCTCAAGAATGAATAAACATTTAAAAAATATTTAAAAGAAAGACACAAAACCAGATTAAATGCCTTATACCATCTACCAATCTGAGAAGCCTGGTGATTTCTGTGTGTGTGTGTGGCGGGGGGTGGGGGTGGGGGTGGAGTTGAAGTTTCATAAATCAGGCTTATCCCTTTAATTTGTGATAAGAGACCCATGATTTTGCCACTTTCATTCATAAAGCCCTAAGAAAGCCATCTGTAGTTCTACCACCCAGAAAGGTATTTGTTTAAAAATACAGTCGTAGGCATAGGAACCTAGTAACCCTAGGGTGAGTCTTGAGAAAGAGACAATGTCCACAGACCATCACGTTCCTTGTGCTGTTCCCTTTGAAGATCTGCCAGTTTGTCTGGTCAGAGCTATAGGACACGTAGAACTCTATGGTGTAGTATGACTTCAGATAGTGTTTGGCACCTTGGGTCTGGATCCCTGTGAATACGACTTCCCTCTGCATGTCCACCTGCAATAGAGCAAAGCCATTAAGCAGATCTGTCCTCGTCGACAACTCACACACTGCCTTCCTTAACTCATTGTGTAACCAGCTTTCTTTAGAACTAAAAAGCCTGCATCTTAGTAAACTAATAAACTGGCTAGAGACAATACATATTTGAGCACAGAGTACCTGGACTTGAATCCAAGTTCGATCACTTACTCGCTGTGTGTCATTTTTGGAAGTCAGTTAGTCCCTCTGTGCCTTAGTTTTTTTATCTATAAAAAGGGTATCTAAGACAATACTAGAACTAACTTTATAGGGTTCATTTTGAATATGTAAAGCACTTAGAATGGTGCCTACAACATTGCAAGAACAACATAGAGAAATTACAAAATCACTGTCATTTTATTATTATAGTACAGTAAATACTATCAGGTTAATAAGATATACCTGGATCCAAGGTTTAGGGTGATCTTGTGAAAGCTTTTCTGTGACCCAAGCATTATATGATCCACCATTGTTTAATCTTGCTAATTTGGGCTCCCAATAACCTAAATTCAGAAAAGAAAAAAATTTATTCTGAACTTAAAAAAAAAAACTTAAAACATACAACTAGACATTTCCCACGTAAATTTAGTCCCCGCAGAAAACCAGATCTCTGCAGGAGCCTCTACTGAAGTTAGGAGACCAGGCAGTTGTCACAGGCCTCAGTTACTCAGTCAGTTCATGATGACGAAATCTTGGCTTCTGGTCTGTGCTTGGTCCCTGTCCACCACCACCCACCCTCCTTCTTCCACACAGGTTGTGTTTATCTTTTCTCAGCTTTGTTGATGTAGTTGCTACTGAGTGTGGCTTGCCTAAGGCGAGGGCATGCGAGGGATTATGGGAACCTCATGATCCCTTGCAACTGACCTTTTCATCTTGGGAAGGGCTTTGAGGCAGAGTGAGGCAATTAGAAGGAGATCCTGACACAGAGTGGGTGATCAGCAAAGTTTATGAATAGATGAATGGTTAGCACAGCAAAAGGCCCTATTAATGGGCAGTATAGCGTGTGGTCAATATACCTTGGGCATCTGGCTGGAATATCTGGTTTGTGATCAAGCGTGGAATGAGGATGAATGTGGAGAGTTTTGGAAATGGGCACACGGTCATAAGAGTAAGGCACTGAAAGAACGAACGAAAGAACGAAAGAAAGAAAGAGGGTGCCTGGGTGGCTCAGTCATTTAAGTGTCTGACACTTGATTTTGGTTCAGGTCATGATCTCATGGTTCATGGGGATCGGGCTCCATACCGGGTATGGAACCTGCTTAAGATTCTCTCTCTCTCTCTCTCTCTCTCTCTCTGTTTCTCTCTCTCTCTCTCAAAATAAAAAGAGAAAAAGAGAGCAAGGTATCCACTCCTCACCCAATCCCTGCTGAGAGGCTGGACTGCCTGCGTAGGGACTCTGAGGCCCCCTAGCTCTTGGTCTTCCCTGGGAGAGACTCTTTAAGCACATTATACACCAGGGAGGGAGGCAGTGATGAAGGAGTGTCAACAAGTGCTTTGCTCCTTCCTCCTCCCAGGTGAGCAGCTCAAGATGGAGCTGGTTTCCTGTGGTAGAGAAAAGCCTGGAGATGAGCAATGATTCAACAGACAGGACTGTCACGGACGGTATCTCAGGCTGTGTGCTGCATAGTTCTAGGAGGTGCCTTCCAAAGGCTATGATGTTACCACTTACCCCAATGCCCAGAAGCCTTGATCTGTGAATCAGCTATGATACCAGTGCTTAGTCCCATTGGCATCTTACATTCTACCAAAAAAACAAAAACCAAAAAACACAGAACAATGAATAGTTTTTGCTTAGAAAATACATATAACAAAGTAAAAGTTCTGCAGCTAGAGATTATACCTCCGGCGGGCCAGTGGTTCAATAGTTTCACCTACCTTGTGTGGCACTGACATAAATATGTCTGATCATAAGAGATAAATGTACTAGCATGACTGGTGCTTTAACAGAAATAGTGACACCCCAGAGGAAAACCACTGAAGTCCCGAAATGCAGTTAGCTTTAAACTGATTTCCATCTGCTTGTATCTTAAAATAAAGCCATTTTACAACATTAAGTACTACCCCTTATAAGTCTATGTTCCCAAAAGTTGACCCAAAAGTTACAGAGCTATTTACATTCCCATCAAAAAAGGAAATACCAGCCACTGAGATATCTGGATGTGGACACAGAGCTTGGTACTCAGCAGGTACTTAAAAAGTGCTGGTTGGCTGGCTGGCTGGCTGCATGGATGGACCTATGGAAACTGTTTCTCAAATACAGAAGTGCCAAGTTCAGAGACTCTCCTAGTCATCGTTTCACTCCTGGCATCTTTCCCTCCTCTACTCTAGGAGTCTGGAAAAATTCTTCCATCCACTTTCCCATGAATCACATGTCATGAAGATGCTTTATATTGGTTCCCCAATTGAAAGCAATGCCTTTGGGCTGAAACGTGTGGTTTAAGTTTCCTAGAAGATTGATGCTTGCAGTATAATCAGACCATGGGTCAAAATAAAAGCAGTTACAGATTATGCCTCTGTCATTCAGAGAGGTCCCAGAGTTGAGTATTTTGAATTTAAAAGTTAATAATATTCTAGCAGGGACTGTCCTGCTGGCGCGCCCAGGCTCTCGGAGAGTACCTCTGTCTATGATGAGAAACGGTGTCTGCATCCCAGCTCTCTGGTTTTCTCCAATCTCTGTGTCGAGGAGCCACCAACCAGATTTTGATGCCTTCATTTCAAGAGTTTTAAATGAACCTAAAATAGAAAGCGAAGGACAACATTACATACCCAAAGATTAACAGTTAATATTAGTCGACAGCTGTCAAAACTTCTTTAGATTCTTGAGAAATTCTTTAGAAAGGAACTTACAAATTATCCATTTCTCTTTCGGGAGGACTAGAGTTGTAACAAGCATAAAAACAAAACAAAACAGCACACATACACATTACTCAAAATTAATTGGCCCAGGCTTCAAAAAATCTCCAGCATCTCTTACTAGAAAGAAACTTTCACTGATCTACATTCAGTGTCACAAACTAACCTATATACAACACAGCTTCACAGTCCTAAGTATTAAGGCGGTCTTGAATGACTCATTATTGGGTCTCAAGAATATTGTTATGTGTTTCCCTTTTTCCCTTCATTTCATTAGTTTTTCTTTTTTATATATGAAAAGTAAAAATAGGGGCACCTGGGTGGCTCAGTCGGTTAAGCGTCCGACTTCGGCTCAGGTCATGATCTCACGGTTCGTGGGTTTGAGCCCTGCGTCGGGCTCTGTGCTGACAGCTCGGAGCCTGGAGCCTGTTTCAGATTCTGTGTCTCCCTCTCTCTCTGACCCTCCCCCGCTCACACACTCTCTCTCTGTCTCAAAAATAAATAAACTATTAAAAAAATTTAAAAAACATCTTTCTCCCATGTTTTCAAATTTTCTATTAGGTTTACATAGTTGCACAGAGATGCACATACATATACTCAAAATCACTGAAGGACATTTTTGAACCCTCTGATTACCCACTCTGTTATTTTAATACTGCCCGCTGTCAGTTTACACTTAAATTCCATTGACTGTAATTCATGACTATTTTCCAGATGATGGGTAAAAATTAATAGCTGGTGGCCTTCCTCTAACACACAAGAATGATTCCAGTCTTCCACTCTCCAGTGGAGATATTAGATTTGAAGATTTGGATGGGCCAGCCAATTCCAGCTTCTAAGGCTCAAGGGAAGGATGACCAATCTGGTCATTTACATTTTGTAAAAAGAAGTAACCCTGACCTAATCATTTATCTCCCTGATTTTAAAAAGTGGGTCTTTATAGCTCTATTAATGAGCCACTGGTTTGAATAAATCGACCAAGAACACTGTCTCCGCACCCCCCCCCCGCCCCCCGCCTTTAACCAAACCAGTCCTGTTTGGACTTCTGTGCCTACCTGAGTTTGACCCACAGAGCAACTTCCCAACCAAAGTTCTGGCCAGGGACTGACTGCCTTCCCTACCTTCTCAGAGCATTTGTGGAAGCAAGGCTGCTTGTTAAAAATGCAGAGTCCTGGGGCCCCTGCCCAAGATCAAAGTCTCCAAAAGCAAAATCTCTGCCTTAGCATTTACGTTTTAACCAGCTTCCTAGAGTTTCACTATGCTTGTTACATTTACACACCCCTACTCACACCCCTACACTGCACAGATATGCCTATAAACAACTCACTGGCACATAAAAGTCCTTTGTGATGGTTGGTTTATTTAAACCTTTTCATTATTTTGTACATGAGAAGTTCTAAATACCCCTCTTATTTTTTTGCTTTTATAATCTTTAAAAACACTGCCTCCCACTGCTCCAACAACCTCGTGAGTCAGTTTAAGATTAAGATTCCTGTAGTCACTTGCCCAAAGGTATCAGGGTCAGAGTGTGCAGAACGGAATTCACGGATTCAAGAATCCCAAAACCCTAGTATGTTTTTAATCTCCTTCCCAACAGAAAGCTGCTAAAGCAGCCTGAGCTCTGTGGGACTCATTTTGTAATCTGCTTAAGACCTGGCCTACGTGACATGGAGCGGTTTGGAAAAACCTGCATTAGACGTAGCATCTCTGTAGAACCGAGCTGAGCCTGTGTGGAGCTGCATGCAGTGCCTACACTGGCTGACTTTTTCAGACTCTGTCTACAGTCTGGGGAAATGGCTGTACCCAGGATCTGAGCCAGAGCCCACCCTTGACCCTTAGGAAGCACGGGACGGAATGAGGGACAGTTGTGTTGCTAAGACTGCCTTCTCTAGTCATTTTTTCCATCAGGGACCCATTTTCATTGTGCAGATCTTTACCAGGCAGAAGGGGCCAGACCCCTAGCTGGTGCTGTTGAGTGCCGTTTTCCAGCAAGGTCTGGCCGTGAAAGTGAACCACATGAATGTCTCGAGAGCTGCCCATGTTCAGCAGGTGCAGCCTCACCCACTCTTGCTCGTACATTCTCAGGCCAGGTAAGCTGTAGATCATCCCATTAATGGCTGAAACGACAGAGTTGCAACCGATTAGGAATCTGTGTACACCAGCAGAGGGGCTGAGAGGAAGTATGAGGCATCCCATTCATCACCCATCTTGCCTTCACTCCCACTGTCTGGACCCCTGTGTGTCCTGCTATCAGAGAGAGGCTAAGACAGCCCCTCCAGCTCCTCCTCACACCAGCCCACAGCAGCTTCCCATGCGATTTATCATTCTCCACCCTGGACATCACACTTCTGCCCTGTGCTTCACTCACTTCTCCTTGACATTTTCCTGCACTACAAACACAGAAAGACTAATATGAGCCAGATGAGTGAACTCCAGTGGTTAGAGGAAAAAGACTGAGGGGACACACAGCACATCACCCCATGGGCTTCCTAAATTCAGAGATTGTTCCAGGCAAAATAAGAAAGTCCAACCATAAGGGTTCATGCTCATACTCTCATTTGTATGATAGATCCTTTGCTCCCTTCCCAGCTTAAATATCTGGGGTTCATGCATTTAGCTGAGATTGAAGTGAGATAATCTTTTATAATTGTAAATAATTAGTAAACAAATTATTATTTAATAAATTATATTAAATTATAAACTAAACCATATAAATAAATTATCATTTAATAAATTATTGCAATAAATTATAAATAATTAGTAGTATTATTCTAAAGTAAAAAGAACTATATGGAATTTCAGGAACTGAGCAAGTGAATTTTGGTAGCAAAAGGGGTTGAGGTCATTTTGGCACCCTTAAGGTTATATCAGGTATGAGAGTACCTATCTTTCCACTCCTAACACAAAGCCTAACTCCCTCACCTGTGCAGGAAGTAGGTTTCCTAAGAGTGAAAAATGTCTCAAGTGATTATTGGGTCAGCATCACTAAATCATTACGTCAGAATATGGAATGAAGTCTCTCAACATAGCAGCTACTCAGTAAACATTTGAAAAATTGAACTGAGTGATAGAATTCATTCATTTATTCATTACTTCACTACACAGCTGCCGGGCACATACTACAAAGTCCAGGTGCTGAGTTTGAGGCTGGGAACTCAGATGGTCTGTCTACCAAATACCCCGATAAATACTACACCATGGGATTACCAAACCACAGAGACTGAAACTACAGTACATTTTAAACTAAACTATAACAAATGCAGTTTACTCTTTCTTGGAGGAATCAGAAGCAACGGCTCGAGGGTACTGAGCAAGTAAGGGGACAGCTAGCTGACAAGCCTATCTGATTCTGCAACCCTCTGATGCTCTACCAGCAGCTTGGGAGGTTTTCAGAAGAGTGTGCCTCCCACTCGCGAGACCAAGTAGCCTGGGCTGAAAAGCCTAGAAATGATAGGAGAAGAGAAAAGGAAGCTCCGCTTGGCGTTTATTGGTCTGCTTTCCATCGACTCTCTTCTAGAAAGCTTAAGAGAATCTGTTTAATTTCTTTGTATGATAAGCAGTCCGAGGGGAGGGTTTTGGAGCAGATCATAAATTATGTTGATCACCTTCCTCTACCCTCAAGTGTTTATACAGGTGAGATCAGATTAAACAGAAGTTGAATGAGAAAAATAAAGCAAGAAGGGCAGCCTGAGTGTGTCAATGGGTTGCAGGAGGCAGAACACACCTACTTAGCTGTGGTGACTGGCTGGGGGAGGTTGGTGGTAGCGGCACTGAAGTGGATGTTGTATATAAGTCTTTTTCTTCCTTAAGCGATAGCAACCTTCTCCTTTCCAGTTACATGGAATGACCCGTACCCAAAGCACAGATCCTTCCTGGTGAGAAATCTTACAGTATTTTCCTCCATTCATCAAACTCTAAAAGCAGGGCTCATCAGCCTTCATTTATTTTTTGAATTCCCAAGTCATTCTCTTTGTTTTTCACCAAATTCCAAGTTCTGACTTTCTCTAAAACTACAGTAAACCTTGGATGGCTAGTAGCTTGTTCTGTGAGTGTTCCGCAAGACAAGCAAACAATTTCTAATAAGCCTTAACTTGATAAACGGGTGTCGTCTTGCAATAGAAGTAGTATGGGACGCCGAACATCACATGATCACACCTGAGCCAATGGTTCTTGAAATTCGCTTTGAAATATGAGTGCTCTGGATGACAAGCATGTTTCCAGAACAAATTATGCTCACAAACCAAGGTTTTACTGTATTTTTAATTCAGTGACAATTTACAGACAAAATTCCTGAATGGAGTTCAGAGTACATATGTTTTTCTCACTCAACCCCCGCTTCCCAAATGTTCTCTTGCCATGATTCTCCTATGACCTCACTACCTAGTTTCCTATCTCATTTTTCCAATGCCACCTGGGAAATGCTGAGAGCTGGAACTGTCACGTTCTTATTGAGAAAGCACGCATGGGTGATCACTTCTTCTAGATAAATGATTGTTCCTTTAGCAATCAAGGAACAGGTTCATTAACTGTTTACACTGCAGGATAATGCTAATTCCTAAGCTACCGGCTGACGCACATTGGCTTCTTGCTGGCTGGTTGGGTCTGTTCTGCCGCAGGCTCCTGCGCTAGCTTTCAGACCTTCTCTGTCCCATTCACCTGTAGCGCCACCTGCCGGGCGACACCAGCCCCCAGACCTTTAAGGACCTACTGTGGGTTTGTAGTTCTTGGTTCTTGAGAAGTACCTTATGTCTAATCTTATGAAGACTGAGGACAGGAATCAGGGGCACCCAGGGGGATTTGGGTCGGAGATTAGATCAAAGTCAGAGGACAGTACCATGAAACTCGTGGGAGGTTTGTCCTTCGGAGGATCCCAGTCTCCAAGCCCTGGGAGACTGTGCTTTCTTTTCATAGTACCAGCTCTTCCTTTCGTCAAAGACCATAAAGAGAAAGACAAATTCTCTCATGTCCATGGGCGTGTTGCTCTCCTTATGAAGTACTCCTTTTTGGCAGATCAGAAGGGGACCTATCAAGCCAGAATGGATATCTTTTTCCTGGAAGACAGTAGGAGCAAATTGCACATATTTTTCTCTTTCTCAGGATTTTCTCTGATTATATAGAAAAGGACACCTCAGGGGCTCTGAAATGGAAGATTATGAAGGAACAGCTTACTAAGCATGGGTATCATCATCAAATTCTGTGGCATTCATATTCCCTTCCTCTTTATCTCAGCATGGCAGTCGTGATAATGTTAATGACAATATTGATACTATTATAATCACTATTTATTGAGCGTCTACCAATATACTAAATATTTTGCTGGTAGAGTCTTATTTAATTCAGACAACAATCCTGCATATTAAATAAAAGGAACTCATTTACTGAACAAATATTGCCAAGTGCCTATTGTGTGCTACCTACTGTTTTCTCATTTTTAACTTTTGGAAACTGAGGCTGCGAGAGGTCAAGTAATTTTCCTAGGCCCATACAGGAAGTGACAGGAGGGGCATTGAAATTGAAGTCTGTGCTCTCTCTTTAGCATGCCCCAAACGAACGAGTCTTGATTTTGTAGCTGTTTCATAAAGACAGAGCCAAAGAAAGCTATAACTTGCTCGAGGACATTGCAAATAAACGATTTCCTCCGCAAAGGAAGTCACTAACTGGGTGCAACAATTTCAGTAACCCCCACTGCCCTTCCTGAACACTTGTTTCTCTCACGCGGGCCTCTGGAGACAAGTTGCTGTAGATTGTTGATACAATCCTCACATATTCCTCACGGAAACCAGGGCAGGCACCTAACAGGAGAGCATCTTGGCCCTTCCATTTGGCGGACTCAGGTTAGAAGGTTAGGGGAATGACGGAAACGTTCAATGGATGTACCTACCGGGTTCACTGCTGAGTAGTAGGCCCAAGCTCGGCAGGCCGACCCGGGATTTTCCGGCCCCGACCGCGGAGTAGCGTGCCATACATACGTATAACTGCTGTTTGGCCGAACAGCATTATCTTCCTTAAACCATTCTGGAGAATCATCTTCATAAGACTTCCCCTCTGATGACTTTTCATAGGAAAGCCCATGGGCGTGAAGAGAATATGGTCTGGATGCTAAATTTTTAAAACGAACCTAGAAAAAGGAATGAGCCACAAATGGACTTAAGATCAACAAAATTCAAATTAATGAATGTCATTACTACAGGCCCAAATAGATGGCTATTAAATTAGACCTAGATATATATACAGTACGATATATTAATTGCACACAGGTTTAAAGTCACGTATGTATTGTCTGATTTTTAAAATATCCTGTGAGATAGGGCCCATGTAGCTTACCCTGGAAATACCAAAGCATGTTTGTTCTTCGGCTCAAAGCAAAAATATTGAAATTATGTTCAGATCACAATAGGTGCTGTAGATGTGAAGATGAAGGAGGTTTGGGTCTTACAATAAGCTTTCAACCTCCTGGTGAAGAGATACATGCACATCAAAACTCAAGTTAAAAGTCTGGAGACAAGGGGCACATGGATGGCCCAGTCCATTAAGGAACTGACTCTTGATTTCAACTCAGGTCATGATCTCACGGTTCCTTAGATCCAGCTCTGCACTGGGCTCTGTGCTAACAGCTAGACGCTGCTTGGGATTCTCTCTTTTTCCCTCTCAGTGTGTTCCTCACCTGCTCACCCTCTGTCTGTCTCTAAATAAATAAATAAAATTAAAAATCTGGAAGTCTTAGGTTCTGTAAACAAAGTATGAACAGGGTTCATGGGAATGCCAGGAAGGAGCCATTCGGTTGAATGTGCAGGAGAGGTTGGGGTGGCAAAGAAAGTTTCTTAGGGAAAACAGAACTGGTCCTTGCAGTAATGAATGGGAGCTCAGCAGAAAGGGAAATAGAATCATGAGATCATTTTTTGTTTTTGAAGATTATCAAACCACAGTAAAACCTTGGTTTGCAAGCATAATTCATCCAGAAACATGCTTGTCATCCAAAGCATGTGTAGGTCAAAGCAAATTTCAAGAACCATTGGCTCAGTTGTGATCATGTGACATGCGGCATCATGTACTACTTGTATTGTAAGACATCACTCATTTATCAAATTCAAATTTATAAGAAATGTTTGCTCATCTTGCAGAGCACTCGCAGAATAAGTTACTTGCAGTCTAAGGTTTTATTGTACTTGGCAAGCAGTCTCTGAAAAGATGTGTAGTTATTTGTTAATTTTGGAAGATAGATAAATTACCAATACTCCTCTTCCCCCTTTCACTGTTACAACCCCCTGGTGCTTGTGGAAATTCCTCTGATGATCTTAACAATGCTTAAAAGATTGCTTACTTGGATGACATCATCCACTTCAGCTCTAATAACAGGACCAAGAATGCCAAGATGCTCTTCAAGCTCCCCTATCGGATCACGTTTGGTAAAAGTGCTATCAAGATACTTTCGAAACACCACTTTCTTGTACACAGTGTTCTCCGGAACATCCTCAATGTCTTCATTATCTATTTCACTGAAATAATAGTAATAGCAATAACAATAATAATAAATTGCTTAAAATAACAAATGAAAAACCATTGAAGAATTGGAGGACTTATCCCTGCTTCTGAATAGAGTGTCTAGCATAGATATTTAATAAATACTTCATGAACAAATGAATGAAAATATAAATGAGTAAAAACTTAAGCCAGTAAATATCCTTCTAACCACAGTACCATTTCTTAGGTAAGTCCTCCTATGATCCTTTAGACTAGATCTCTAAGTGTTCACAGTATTACTATAGAATATATAGCATATTTCTGTAGTATTCTTAAATAAAGCAGTACAGATTATTTATTTGTCTGATTATCTATTAAAATCTGACTCTGATACTAAAGTGAAAGTCCCCTGAGGTCAGGGATTGTGCCTAGTCTGCTCATTATTTTATTTCCAGTGCCTGGCAAGTCATCTGGCACATTGCAGGCACTTGATAAACTTTCATTTAATGAATTTATTTATGAATGAATTAATAAGTATAATCATATATTCACATAGCAGATTTTAATATCAGAAGCAGACAAAGCCATGCAATGGGATCATGCCAGGGCTTGGGACCATCAGGTGACAACTGTCACCCCTGTGAATGAAAGTAGCCATTCTTCTCACGTTTGCTTTTGTTAAATCACATCATTCCTCACATAGTTCACCAGCTCAGCCTGGGACCAGAGCACATCAAATTTTCTCAGACTCTTAAATTTCTCAAGCCTGTGGAAACAGGCCAAAAGCTCATCAACAAAGAATCCCATTCTGCCTTCCTCCTGGTCTTCCAACCAGGAAGTGGTGACCCCATCCTTCCAGACCCTGAGCATAGTTTCACAGAACACATGGGGATGAGCAAAGCAGGTGTGACTGCTGTATACATGGGTTGCACATCTGGAACGAGACATAAGATTTTGAAGGAACTGATTCTATCCCTTTCCACTTTGGAAATGCCCTAAATCTTACTTTTTCAGGGCCTCTCTTAGAAATCCCTAGATAAATTATTCTCATGTAGCAGTGAGTGCTACATTTAAAGAGGAAGTCACATGAAAATGTGTTTTAAGGGCGCCTGGGTGGCTTAGTCGGTTAAGCATTCGACTTTCGCTTAGGTCATGATCTCGCGGTTCGTGGGTTCGAGCCCCACATCGGGCTCTGTGCTGACTGCCAGCTCAGAGCCTGGAGCCTGTTTCAGAGTCTGTGTCTCCCTCTCTCTCTGACCCTCCCCTGCTCACACTGTCTCTCTCTCTCTCTCCTAGAAATAAATAAAAATATNCAGAGTCTGTGTCTCCCTCTCTCTCTGACCCTCCCCTGCTCACACTGTCTCTCTCTCTCTCTCCTAGAAATAAATAAAAATATTTAAAAAAAAAAAGAAAGAAAATGTGCTTTAAACTAACAGAGTTCTAATATGGAAATGCCAGTCATCAGATTAATGAAATAATTTCTGTAAGCCATACCATACATTATGTCTTCTTACTCTAATTACACTTTGGATTTTGATTTTTAGTGTTGTTAGCTTTTGTAAAATCTGTGAACTATACTTAGACAGTTTGAGCATGGTCGCCAAGTTGTGATTCTCCCACTATCACTGGCTAAGACTTGCCTCTTGTTCCCCCCCCGACCCCGACCACCTCTTCTTTCTCTATATTGTCATCCCAGAATACAGAATCCAGCCCAGTATGGCTTTCCATCCTTAAGCAGAATTCAATTGAAAGCTGCTTAAAAAATATATAGATCCCATAGGAACCCTCTGTTGTTAAGTCAGGCTACTTACATAATTGCATCTACAGTTGAAGAGTGGCTGGAATCTGAAATGTTAAAGTATGAATGGGAATCTTGGGGAACATTTGGTGTAACTCTTTCATCTAAAAGATGAAAGTAGCAAGGTCCAGGAAAGAAACTGACATTCTAGGAAGCAAGGAATGGCTAAAGCTTTTGAAGTGTTCTCATTGCTCTTTGGATAAACCCCAAAATTCTTCCCGAAGCCTAGTGGCATCTAGTCTGGTAGCCAAATGTTTTCTTACAACTCACTCTCTTCTTGAGCTCCAGCTACAGAGGCTTTAGGGCTTCCTCCTTCCTCATGGCCTCATTTTGCTATTCTCTCTGTTTAGAATGTTCTCCCATGATCACTTCCAGTTCACTCCTATGCCTCTTCTGATCTCAGCTCAACTCAAATGCCACTTCTCCAGTGTCAGGTCCCTTAATTCTTAAATCACCATGTATCTGCCTTTCCTTCTTGGTCTTTAGTATAGTTATATTTTACACTTATTATGTGAGCATTTGATTCATATCTACCTGCCCAATTAGATGTAAGTCCCATGAGGGCAGAGTCATGGATGTTTATATTCTATTTTATAGTCTCAACACTTAGCACAATGCTTAGGAGAGAATAAGCACTCATTCTGCAAGCCAAGTTAAAATTCAAGGTTAAAGCAAAAGAAATCACTGTTTATGATGGCCTCAGTTGAAGGTATAAACTTGCCTTTTTGTTTCTAAGCTGGTTTATATCCTTGGCCTCTGCTACTGGAATCTTATATAATTTAAATTAAACTTCACCAAGATGCTATACACTTCATATTGATCGGCAAACATTAAAAATTTTTTTGTAAACAAATGCAAGAAGAGATTCCTATATTACAAATTTAGATTTGAAGCCAAGGCCAGTGAAATCATGTTGATTAGCAGGTAGCTATGGATAGGTTGGGCTCTGCACTTGGGCAAGGAAAGGAGGTAGGAACATGAATGGTGAAAGAAGAAGAGAAAGGAGGGAGCTTCTTTAAATGGAGAATATCACAGACTTCTTATAGTGATTTTCTTACATTGTCCAAATGTCATGTAATATAGAGACATTAATCATGGAATTGACAAAGCAAATTGTATAGCACAAATTGCAATAGTGGAACAAATTATACTTAGTATACTTTGCTCAGAATTATCTCCTTGGACTATTGTAAGCTTTTTAACAGTAGTGAGAAAATGAGAATATAAAAGGAGAAAATTTGACCAAACCTTTGAGCAAATTTTGAATAATCCCAGGAGATTTCTTCAGCAGCAATGTAATAATATTTCTTGTTTCCATTGTTGCTGCGGAGGTACCATGCTGCAATGCTGTCAGGATTTCTGGAAGAGTTAATGTCTGTCCTAACATCAGTTTGATAAGGGTCATCATAGGGCACGTAATCAATGTCATCAATGATTTCTTCACTTCTCTCTTCCTTCTGCCTTGGAATAATCTCAATGTAATCCCCATCATTTCCACTGAGGCCTATTACAACTGGTGGGTTAAGTTCCTTTGGTATAAAAGTGTTATTTAGGGTAGAAGATAGTGCAGGAGATGGCGCCTGACCGAGGTCTGGAGAATGAGAAATCTGACCAAATTCTGGAAGAAGCAACGAATGACTGGATTCAGAGGTGTTGGATGTCTGACCAAGATCTAAAGGAGGTGATTTCTGCCTGAGATCAGGAGGAAGGGCTGTTTGACTAATGTCTGGAGAGAGAGTCTCCTGGCTGAGGTCTGGGGAAAGGGGTATCTGACCAAGGTCTTGAGAAAGTGTTGTCTGGCTGATATCTGGAGAAAAGGTCGTTTGGCTGACATCTGATGAGAGAGTCTCCTGGCTGAGGTCTGGGGAAAGGTTTATATTTATGAGATCTGGGGAAATGGTTATCTCACTGTGGTCTGGGGAAAGATCTATCTGGCTGAGGTCTGGAGAAAGGGTCATCTGGCTGAGGTCTGATAAGAGAGGCTCCTGGCTGAGGTCTGGGGAAAGGGGCATCTGGCCAAGATCTGGGGAAATGGCTGTCTGGCCATGGTCTGGGGAAAGGGCTGCCTGGTCATGATCTGGGGAAAGAGCTGCCTGGCCATGGTCTGGGGAAAGGGGCATCTGGCCATGGTCTGGGGAAAGGGCTGCCTGGTCGTGGTCTGGGGAAAGGGTTGTATGGCCATGGTCTGGGGAAAGGGCTGCCTGGCCATGGTCTGGGGAAAAAGGCATCTGGCCAAAATCTGGGGAAATGGCTGTCTGGCTGTGGTCTGGGGAAAGGGCTGCCTGGCCATGGTCTGAGGAAAGGGGCATCTGGCCATGGTCTGGGGAAAGAGCTGTATGGCCGTGATCTGGGGAAAGGGCTGCCTGGCCATGGTCTGGGGAAAGGGATGCCTGGCCGTGGTCTGGGGAAAGGGCTGCCTGGTCGTGGTCTGGGGAAAGGGCTGCCTGGTCGTGGTCTGGAGAAAGGGTTGTATGGCCATGGTCTGGGGAAAGGGCTGCCTGGCCATGGTCTGGGGAAAGTGCTGCCTGGCCATGGTCTGGGGAAAGGGATGCCTGGTCGTGGTCTGGAGAAAGGGTTGTATGGCCATGGTCTGGGGAAAGGGCTGCCTGGCCATGGTCTGGGGAAAGGGGCATCTGGCCAAAATCTGGGGAAATGGCTGTCTGGCTGTGGTCTGGGAAAAGGGCTGCCTGGCCGTGGTCTGGGGAAAGGGATGCCTGGCCATGGTCTGAGGAAAGGGGCATCTGGCTATGGTCTGGGGAAAGGGTTGTATGGCCATGGTCTGGGGAAAGGGCTGCCTGGCCATGGTCTGGGGAAAGGGGCATCTGGCCAAAATCTGGGGAAACGGCGGTCTGGCTGTGGTCTGGGGAAAGGGCTGCCTGGCCAAGGTCTGAGGAAAGGGATGTATGGCCGAGGTCTGAGGAAAGGGTTGTCTGGCCGAGGTCTGGGGAAAGGGGCATCTGGCCTAGGTCTGAGGAAAGGGTTGGTTGACCGAGATCTGCAGAGATGGTTGTCTTCCAGACTTCAGGTTCTGAGGAAGGGAACCTCTGAGCAATGTCAGTAGAGAAGGACTTGTTTCTTAGGTCATAGTTGAGCATCTGGGCAGGCTTTGGGAGAGATCCACGACTAGAGTCTGTAGTGGAGTGCATTTGATCAGAGTCTTGAATAGGGAATGTTTGATAGTGTTCTTCTGGGGTTGTTGTCTGATAAAGATCTAAAGGGGAGCTTGTCTGACTGGTGTAATTTGGGGGATTCTGATTATGGTTAGGAGGTGAGGCTATCAGGCTAAGATTCATAGAGGGGAATGTCTGATTGAGGTCTGTGGGAAGAAAATATGGTTCCTTGGGTTTATAGAGTAACAATGAATGATCAAGTCTCCTATCTGAAAATGTGGTATTAGCCTTTCTTAGAGGGTGAAAGCCCCTTGGAGATAGAGGAATATGGTGTGTAAGCTTCTCTTCCTTTTTCTTTTTTCGTGTTTTAATGAAAAAAGGGCTTTTCTTCAATCCACTGTTTCCTCCATCCTGTCTTACTTGTAGAAATCTATTTCTACTTTCAGAAAATTTGGGGCGACTACTCTGCTTTCTGTGCTTGTTTGTGAAAGGGATTCTTTTCTCCCAAGTCCTTGAGGCATTATGGGGGCTGCTTAGCAGCTTATCAACAGCTATGTCTTCATCAGCATCTTGGACTATTTCATAACTACCTTTCTCAGAAGCCAGATGCCATTTCCCATTCAAAATCTTAGATGGATTCTTTTGTTTTAAGAGTAACAGATCACTGGGAAGTTCTTCCCAGGGTCCCGTTCTGGAAGGAGAAGAGTTGTCTTGGCTTAAATGTCTCCCAGCTTTATGCGCTGAAAGTGCCACCTGGGAGATCCTGTGCTTTGTTGCGTGGTCGCTTCCTTTCTTGGGTCCCTTATGCTTCGCATGTTCTTGACTCCTGAAGTCTTCTGCATCGAGTGGAAGTAGACTTATCCCAGTGATATCTGCTGGGAGAGGATCCTCCATGGAATCTTCAGAATAAGGGCTGGAATGCTCTGCTGTGGAAGAGTTGAGAACTGAATTCTTGTCTAAGCCAACATGTTCCAAGGGGGTACCAGCTGTGGTGGCTTCTGGGCGAGGAAGAGTTTTTTGAGGTCCTGCAAACTTATGGGCAATAAGCCTGCTAATGCTACTTAAGAAAGAAGAATTTGAACTAACAGCTGTATCATTAATTGAAGGGATGAATTCCGAGTAGTTCTCCAGAGCTAAGGCAGTAAGATTAAACTCATCTTCTTCCTGATTCAATGATGAATTTCTGAATGACCTAAGTCCTAACCATAAAGCCAGGTTTTCCTGATAATCATAGTCAGCATCATGCTCTTCACCTCTGTTTTCTGAAGAATCACGCATTTTCCGTGTAGTCATGCCTGTAGATGCCGGAAGTTCATATATAATCTCATATGAGTCTTCATCCTCATCCCGGATACACTTAACATCCCTGAATCGCAGCCTTAGGTTCTTGTTTCTTGGATTGGAATTCACTGTAGTTAACACCCAAGTTCCTACAGAAGAGAGGCAGAGAAAACAGAGAGCTCTAAGCCTAGAAAAAGATCTAAAAACACTAAGATCCATTGGGGCAGATAATTTTCAATGAACTTCAGGCAGGGATAATCCAGCATGGTCTGTGGGTCACTGCTGATCTGTGAACTGTTGATAACTGTTCCACAGTGACAGAAGGAGATAAATTGGGTCTAAGGTGTTTAGAAGGCTCTTCAGCAATTTGACGTTGTTGTGACATCCAAGCATGTGATCAGTATCGACCAAAAGGATTGGTCAGTGGAGATTAGGGATAAAAGAGTTAGCACAGAGACTCTGAGAGTCACTATTTTAGAATATATTTAAAAAGGATGAATTAAGAATAAAGTGGGCTTTGAATATCATAACCATCCTGGTAGCTGCACATATTGTTTGAGAGCTGGAGTGAGGGGGAGGAGGATAATGTTCACCCCCACAAATAAGAGACATCTAGATATTTCTAAGCAATAGATGATTCAGGTGGGCCCAGGGCAACTTTGGATCTCTTTGAAATGCTATTATTTGCTGCTGTACAGAAGATTTCTTGCAGAGTCTCCAATAGTTAACGCTTGTTGGGCGTCTGCCGAGTGCTAGGCACTTTGTATGTATTACAGTTAAGGGTCAGCTCAACTCCATAAAATGTTGTTATTGTGGGTTTCAGATGAATACACAGAGGCTCAGTGACGTCAAGTAACTTGTCCACACTGAATGCCAGAGAACATCTGAACAACGAACGCCAAAGCCCACGTACTTTCCATGGCACTACTGGCTCTGAGACCAGCCTCTAAGGTGCTATATCTGATGATCACTACTAGACGGTGGAATGGCTATCTTTAAAAACTAAAAAAGGTAGGGGTGCCTGGGTGGCTCAGTCAGTTGAGTGTCCAATTTTGGCGCAGGTCATGATCTCACAGTTTGAGCTCCGTGTCAGGCTCTGTGCTGACAGCTCAGAGCCTGAAGCCTGCTTCCGATTCTGTGTCTCCCTCTCTCCGCCCCTCCCCTGTTCTCACTCTGTCTCTTTAAAAAAAAAAGAATAAACATTAAAAAAAACTGAAAAAGGTGTTTTGATTTTAAAAAATGGTCTTTTGTGGCTGAATGTTCATGCTTCCCCTTCAAAGTCATGCCTTATCTTTTGGCTGTTGTGTCTTTACTTCTCACTTAGCCCAGAGAAAGATAAATGGAACCCACATGAAGTGACTGGACCCATCGAGTAATTAATTCCCCCAAATAGGAACCATGAGAAATACTGAAAGGAAAGCCTGAAAGGCATCAGAAAGATAAACCCCGGACTGTGGGAGTCTGGAGAGCTGCCTGCAGCAGAGCTTTAGAGACCAGAGATGCCTCTCCAGGTGTCCAGGTTCTTACCAACATTATCCATTGTGACGGTCACAGATTCCCCACGCATGGGGAAGAGCGTCAAGGTGTCCTCATGTCTCTTTCCATAGATGAATGAGTGCCCAGTGAAGTGAATGGTCAAAACGTCATCCTGGATCCCTAGGCTGCAGAAGTGCCACTGGACAGTGTCATCGAAGCAGAATCCTAGTGTGGGGATACTCTCGGGCACATAGCCATTGATAGCTGAAAGAGTAAAATCTGTTACCACGCAGGCTCTGCCAGCAAAAAGGCATGTGTCTCATTATGCCTAAGATTAATGTCCCAATATCAACTTGGTTGTGTCAAAGCGGTGATCATCTGAGATGAGCTTCACCAGGTCTAACGCGTGACTAGAAGATCAGAGTCAGATTTCTCAGATGAGAACATAATTTCCTAAGTTAGCCAAGGGTGAAGTATTCAGATAAAGACAAAGCTTTTCATTCATGTTGACTTATTCATCTGTCAGATGTGTATCAAATACTTTGTTTTCCACATTCTGATTTTAAAGATATTCTAAACATCAACTTAGCATATTATCTAGACTAATTCTACCTGGATGGAAAGCACAGTATAAGAAAGTCATCTTAACACATTGGTTAGTGAATAGAAATGTCCCTAAAAGTCATACATATTTAGCATATTTTGTGATTTATATTGCTCCCTCTTAGCACTGACATAATCTATAGTTTTCATTCAACTATTGACTGAGTTCATACATCTTCATTATCTTTCAAATGGACACAGCTTTAGGCAGTATCTTTACCTAGATTCTAAGCATGGTAATAAAATCACAGGTTTGATTTCTTTGAGGACAGGGCCCACATCTGCCTGATTTACTACCCTAGCCCTGATCCTAGTATGATGCCTGGCACTAGTGAACCCTTAAATATTTACTGAATAACTGACATAATACATATTTAGTTTGTATTTCATTCAGGAGGCTCTTCTAAAGGGTCAAATCTCTACTAATAGCCACTAGTGACAATGGCTTTCAAACACTTGACATGTGGAAAATCTGGATTGAGATGTGCTTTTAAGTGTAAAATATACTCCAGATTTCAGAGACTTAGTATGAAATAAAGAAAGCAAATCTCATCCATTTTTATACTGGTTATATGTTGAAATGATAATATTTGGGATACATTTTTCATACGGCTATCAGAAAATTTAAAATTACGTCTGTGGCTCACATAATTTCAAAATGGACAGTGCTAGCCCAAAACGATGACAGATTCACTGTCCAAATGAAATTATGGAAAGAAAGCTGAGGTACTCCCTGTTGTGAATTATTTTCATGACACCTGCCAGTTTGGATAATCTTCAACTATCAGTCATCTGAAGCCATACGAACAGACCATCGGGAAGCCATCCTCCTATCTATGATAACCTATCAGAGAAAGTGATCATAATGACTCTTGGCTGTCTGGAACTGTGGTGAGGTCCCTGACCACTGTGGCAGTGTTTGCTTCCAGCTGGGTTAGTGAAATTTCTCTCAGACTTCTCACAGCAGTGGCTTTGGGTGCTGAAATTGAAAACTGCAGCAAATGCCTAAACCTTGGCTCAGGGATCTCCTTCTGCTCTGAACTTCTCACTGTTCCCTTCAAACTTCTTCATGGATTGGGTTTTAAAGACTCTTGGCTCCCCATATGCATTTCACCTTAGTTTGATTTGACAGTCCAGCTTTGGGTTACTTACCTTGTTTCTGCCCTGGCTATAAATAGCATTCACCTTGCACCCAGTCTAAAATCCCCATATGCCCCTGACCAAGCCTGTAGCCCCTCTCCTCACCGCCCGCACCCCTCATCCTGCTCCTCCAGAGTGTATGTGCCCAGAGCATGCACGTATACATACGTGCACAACTGGAACACAAGACCAAGACTTACTAAGGAACACAAGCTTTTGGTCTCTTGTCGTAAAAAGGTTGCTATAATATCATCCACTAACTTAATCATCAAAGTGAGGATTGCGAGTGAGGATGAGAGGTGAGTGGATTCGAATCCATGCCTCCGCCTCTAGGCACAGTCCTACTTTAAGCACGGGAATAGAAAATTGATGGATGAAAACAGTCCTTTGACTTACTGCTCATGACATTTGATTCATAAAACTTGGGGTCATCACGTTTCACCTTATCAGGATTTTCACAGAACTTGTTGATATTGTCTTCAATGTACCAGCTCTTGTTCTCATCAAATACAGCAAACACAGCCAGCTGCTCTATGTCTGCTGCCCTCTGGAGGGTAAAAGTGCAGTGTTCAGTGACTGAGGTGCCAGTCCATTTCCCACAACACTGAGCTCTTCTCGGAAACCAAAGAGGCACAGTGCCTGGGGCCACTGAAGCCACACATGCAGGCATTTACGCAAACTCATTTTATACAAAGCCCTTGTTAGAGCCAAAGGTAATACGTCAGGGCAAACCGAGCAGATCAGAAAATTCAGAGACTAAAACATCTTAATAGAAAAATTCCATCTCCTCACGGCCCCTTGTAATTGTGTTTTATCTCTGTAAGTGAACACCTTTCAACCAGAAGGGTTGACTACACGTGCTCTGAATAGTTGCAAAGGATAAAACAGAAGGTTGCAATAGGAAAACTTTATCCCTCTTCCTATCTGTGTCCTTTCTTAGCTCAATAAATTAGGGTCTTCCAAATGTCCATTTTTAAAAATTTTTCTAGGCATATATTTATTGTATATGCCTTAGGATGAACTTCTTTGATAGTAGCTTAGCCTGGTTGGGAATTTTAAGTTAATCATATGAGACATATATTAGTCTCTGATGAAGATCCATATATTTGTTCACATTGTTATATATATATATGCATATATATAGTCTCACTAGAGATGGACCATTGTCTGGGTCCAACTTCACCAGATGCTATCTCTCTCATCTCTCCCTAGTGTAGGTCTCTAAAAATAACAAGGACTGGTAGAGAGCTTTACACTTTTACCAGGTGGCATCCACTGAGCCCCAAAGCAGCCCTGTCAATTTTTTTAGGAGGGGTATTACCCATTTCATAAAAGGAAGAAATTAAGAAAGGGTAAGTGACTTGCTGATCACACAGCAAAATACCTGGAATTTCAAATAAAACAAAATACTGTATCACTCTAGAGAGTGACTGCCTTCTGCAGTGCGAGTCCAATGCAAATAGACAAGACAAAAAAAAAAAAAAAAAACCAACAAAGTGAGAAGACCTAATCTGTTCCAGCCAGAAGAAGTTCCCTGAATTTCTGAAAGTTTACTTCATGGACAGAATACCTGTATGCCTCGTTTATCCAGGGATCTGCTTTTACAAATCAGAAGTAGCCCAATCAGCCCAGAGGCAATGTCCCTTGTGATGTCCACATTACTGTAATATGGTCTTGTTAAGCACTGGGCATCATTTTCTGTTGGTTCATCTGACTCTAGGATGTTCCACTTATAAGTATAGGTTTCCCCTGGTTGAACTGCTCTGATCATTGTGTTGTTGCCTGAAAGAAAATGGAGTCAAAATTGTTTCCATTCAAAATTATTTCATTAAACAAACCAACAGCGAATTTTGATTAGAACCAGTTAATATTAAGAAAAGAATGTTTGTATCTATTAAGCTCCATTTGTAGGAACCCTGGATTACATGTTGCCATTAGAAATCGCTCCACTAAAGGTCGTTATGGCACTAACAAAGAACACTATTATAGGGTAAACAAAATCCCTGAAGTGAGCAGGGTTTGGTTGTGACTTTTAGGGTACCCCTGCTTGTATACTGCCTGACTGCACAAGTTTGTCGCTGAGCAAAGAGGACAGTAGAAGATGTGGCAGCCTCTCTGAGGTGAAGAGTTTCATTCAGGAGACTCCGATTCAAACCTGAAGTGAAGGAAGAGTTGACTTCATCTTCATAAGGAGAGAAGGTCACTCCATGAGGGTAAATGCTGTAGACACGGCTGGCCATATTTTTGAACACGATCTACAAAGTTAACTCAATTCATTATTTCAGGACTTAAGTTCAAGCGTGAGAATTAAAATAGGATGCTTAGCTTTGCAAATGCACTCGCTGGAGGGCGTGCTTCTGCATGTGTTTGCAGACTCAGGTTCTCTGAGCAGTAACCTCTCCCCTTCACGTGGAAGAGACTTCTGAGGGCGTTTCCCTCACGTGGTAGGGTGGAAAATGGAAAGAGAAGTTGGCCCTGTATCTTCCTCGCGGTATCTCACTCTTTCCAAACCGACCCCCCGCCCCTCTCCTCTCAGCTTGGACCATATCTGCCTTCAGATCTGTTCCTCTCCTCTCTAGACCATGATTCCTTTCTCCAGCCTGGCTGATCTCCCAGGACACTGTCATTGACGTAGTCATCTTGAGGGGCGTACAAACACCCAGATCCTGAATTTCCAATGAGGTATATTTACACTTGCTAAGAGCACCTGAAAGGGATGGGGGAAATCAGAAATGGTGGAAGGGAAAAAGGAGCAGAGAAAGGCTGCTTTCTGTCCTCTGTTATTTTTAAATGAACAGAATTGTCCATGCGTGCAGATATGTTAGTTTACCCCCAGGAAGGGTTGAAGGGAGGAGATTTAAACAAGAGCGCTAGTTAGGCTTCTCGATCTTCAAAAAAGAAACTTAATCTTTTTTTTTTTTTAATTTTTTTTAATGTTTTATTTATTTCTAGGAGAGAGAGAGTATGAGGAGGGGAGGGTCAGAGAGAGAGGGAGTCACAGACTCTGAAACAGGCTCCAGGCTCTGAGCTGGCAGTCAGCACAGAGCCTGATGCGGGGCTCGAACCCACAAACCGCGAGATCATGACCTGAGCGAAAGTTGGACGCTTAACTGACTAAGCCACCCAGGCGCCCCAAAAAAGAAACTTAATCTTAATCAACCTTTGGTTGATTGCCAAAGCCTTTGGATCATCTTTAATCTGTAGATTACCTGCATTCTAGAATCTTGCCAAGGATAGCAACCTTTAATTTTCTGCTGCAGTTCTTATAAAAAGCTTGCCTGATGTGACATATATTTAAGGAAAGCTGTCTAAAGAACACTTGGTGTTGCTGATCCATATCCAGATTTACCTTCATCAGAGACAAGCTCAGGGGAGAACTACATACTTAGAGCACAATGAGGAATTGTCTATACTCAGCTGTCTTTACTGTTATGTTCTCTGCTATAATGAGAACCCTTACTTTAAAAAGCTATGTTTTTATTATTTATTATACCAATTATGGGGATTCTATCAAGGATTCCATCCACTGTATTATACAGCATCCTCTTTTTAAGGATCTGTGGGAGAAATGGATCTCGGTGTGAGGCAAAACTATACTTTATGAGTACAGTAAATCTTGCCTGCCATATTTCCCTTTTCATGCAGCTGCTGAGAAGCTTTGGACAAAATTTACAGACGACCTGAGAGGAACATAAGGCATATGGCCCATTATACTGACCCATGGCTTTACTTTCTTCTTCCCCATATTATCCTTCACCTCAATTAAATTGGCTCTTTGTTTTATCCTTTTATAATCTGATAAATTGTCTCAGATTCTTTATTATGAGGTAGGCTACAAATCAGTCAATAAACATAAACACTGAAGTTGCATTTGAATTAAACGTTAAATGGACATACTTTTCTTATTAATACAATCAAATAACCAGTATTTGTACACTGTCTTTGACTTTTTCATTTCTTCCATGTTTCTATATTTGTGGTACTTACTTTGAGTGTGTCTCTGACCTGGGCTCGGATAATAGGGCCCAAGATCCCATCTTCTTTGATGTTGACATTCTCCATGCGTTTGGTGAAAGACTCATCTTGGTACTGTTTGTAGACAACTTTCTTATATTGTTTTCCGATTTGGTTTGAGAAATTATCCAAATGCAGAGATCTGTATTTTCTTAAAGTGCAATGAAATTTTAAAAAATTAAACCATGTGCTCAAGTAAAGACCCCAGTAGAATGAGGAAACCCTATGCTTAGAAGTTCTACTCTTGAATTAGCCAAAATGCTCATTTTCTTTTAAAAAATTCTTAATGTTTTGCAGAGTCCCAGTATCTGTTCCCTAGTTGGAAAACTGGAAGCCTCTCATCTGTCTTCTCCACCACTGATAAAGTTGTAGACATGGTTAGAAACAGGTACTTAGAATTTCCTGTCACTGTAGTCCCTAGACTAGACCTTAGAGATCTCTGGAAAAAGATCTATCCAAAAGGAATGAGAGGCTATATGGTGAATTTTTTTCTCAGGTCTTCCTTATCACTTAATTTATGGTACCCGTATTGATTTTCCAGGTATTTCTCAATCTCTAAAAGTATGTTCCCACACCAGGAAGCTTTGACCATCTTTATTAGTCGTAGTTCTGTGCTGCTGGGCTATCCCTTCTACCGTCCACCTCATCCCAGTGCCAACTAAAACTCAACTACCTTCACCCATCTTCTGTAGCTACTATAATAAAAGATTTCGGTCAGCAACATGAGCCACTTTTCCTCTTGGCCCTCTTCACTGCCTCAGTTTGCAAAAACAGAAGCGCCATGATAGAATTTATCCATTTTATGCATTTATTTTCCACAACAAAAAGCATAGGCTGTTGCCCGAGTCCTGGAATCTTATTGTGGTTCTGTCAATTATTATTATATAATCTTGACCAAGTTCCTTTTCTGCTCTTTTTCTCAGTTACATTTTTTTGAATAGCAAATGCATTCAAATGATTTTGATTACAGTGAAAATTCTCACTCATACACTATATCCTATCAACCCCACTTCTCAGACCTTCCCTGAATTTCCTAAATATTCACTTTCATTAATGTTATATGTGTAATTCTAGAGCATCTTTATGCATATAATGGAAATATGACTTCGAATATAACTACTCTTATATTCTCATTCCTTAAAAATAGGCAGTTACTTTATACTCAGTGCTACACCTTGACTTTGTCTTGCATTTTCCCAGCTTTATTGAGGTGATTTTGACAAACAAAATTGTATATATTTGAGAAGTACAACACGATGATTCATATATGTATATACGTGATTACCATAATTAAGCTTATTAACACTTCCATCACCTCACCTAGTTACTCTTTTCTTTTTGGGGGTGAGAATACTTAAGATCTACTGTCTTAACAAATTTCAAGTATACAATCACTACAGTCACCATACTGCTTACTAGGTTCACATATAAGTGAGATCATGAGATCATGCAGTATTTGTCGCTTTGTGTCTGGAATGTGTCTTAGCAGTATGTTCTACAGCTTCGTCTATGTTGTTTTAAGTGGCAGGCTTTCCTTCTTTTTTAAGGCTGAGTATTATGTCACTGTGTGTGTGTGTGTGTGTGTGTGTGTGTGTGTGTGTGTGTCTGGTATTTCTCCACTCATCTATCAACAGACACTCAGGTTGTTTCCATATGTTTGGCTATTATGACTAATGCTGCAATGAACATGGGGGCACAGAGATCTCTTTAAAGTATTGCTTTCATTTCCTTTGGATATATATTCAGAAGTAGGATTGCTGGATCATATGGTACTTCTATTTTTAATTTTTGGAGGAGCCTTCTTACTATTTTACATAATGGCTGTGCCAAATTACATTCTCACCAACAGTGTACAGAGTTCCATTTTCTTCACATCCTCACCAACCCTTGTCATCTCTTTTTTGTAGTGGCCACTCTCACAGGTATGAGCTAATAATCTCATGTCGGTTTGATCTGCATTTCCCTGATGACTAGTGATGTTGAACATCTTTTCATATATCTATTTGCCATTTACACGTCTTCTTTGAGAAAATGTCAGTGTAGGTCCTTTGCTCATTTTTAAAAAGTTATTTTATTTTCTTAAAAGATTTTATTTTTTAAGTAATTTCTACACACAACACGGGGCTTGAACTCACAACCTCGAGATCAAAAGTCCCATGCCCCACCAACTGAGCCAGCCAGGCACATTTGCCCAGTTTTAATTCAGGTTTTTGGTTTGGTGTTTTGTTTTTTTTTTGCCATTGAGGTTTATATATATATATATATATATATATTTTTAGAGATATGGCTCACAAATATTTTCTCCCATTCCATAAATTTCTTTTTTGTTTTCCTGATTGTTTCTTTTGTTGTGCAGAAACTTTTTAGTTTGATGTAGGCCCACTTGTTTATTTTTGTTTTTGTTGTCTGTGCTTTTTGTTATACCAAAAAAAAAAAAAAATCATTGGAAAGATCAGTGTCAAGGAGCTTTCTTCCTACCTTTTCTCTTTATATTTAATTCTTTAATCAATTTTGAGTTAATTTTTGTGTATCCTATAAGCTAAGGGTCCAATTTCATTCTTTGCATGTGGATATCCAGTTTTTCCAATATTATTTATTGAGAGACTATCATTTCCCTATTGTACATTTTTAGTGCCCTTGTCAAAGATTGATTAAACATGCATGTGTTTATTTCTGGCCTCTATTCTGCTTCATTGCCTTAGAGTCTGTTTTTTATGCCATCATTATACTATTTGATTAATATAGCTTTGTAATATAGTTTGAAATAAAGAGTGTGATGTTTCCAGCTTTGGTCTTCTAGTTCAATATTGTTTTGGTTATTCAGGATCTTTGTGGTTCCATATGAATTTTAGAATTGTTTTTTTTATTTTTATGAAAAATGCCATTGGAATTTTTATAGGGATTGTATTGAATTAGATTCAATCACTTTGAATTAATATGAATATTTTAACAAATTAATTCTTCCTATCCATTAACATAGAACATCTTTCTATTTTATTGTCTCTTCTTCAATTTCCTTCATCAGTATCTTACAGTTTTTGGTGTATAGATCTTTCATCTCCTTAGGTAAGTTTATTCCTAACATTTTATTATTTTTAATTCTATTGAAATGGGATTGTTTTCTTAGTGTCTATTTTGGACATATATATTGGATATATTATTGGTTTATTAAATGCAACAGATTTTTATATGTTGATTTCATATCCTGAAACTTACTGCATACTTTTATTAGTTCTTTTTTGTTTGTTTGTTTGTTTTATACTTTTATTAGTTCTAATAGATTTTTGATGGAGTCTTAAGAATTATCATCTGCAAAGAGAGACAATTTTACTTTTTTTCTTTACCAGTTTGGATGACTTTTATTTCTTTTTCTTGCCCAATTGCTCTGACTAGGATTTCTAGTAAGATGTTGAATAAAAAATGGTGAGAATAGACACTCTTCTCTTGTTCCTGATCCTATAGAAAAAGCTTTCTTTAAGTATGATGCTAGCTTTGGGTTTATCATGTTGAGGTACATTCCTTCCAAACCTTACTGGTTGAGAGTTTTTATCATGAAAAGATGTTGAATTTTGTCAATTGCTTTTCTGCATCAACTGGGTTCCTTTATGATCTAACCTGCATTTTGTGGATGTGGTATATCACATTTGTTGATTTGTACATGGTGAAAAATCCATGTGCTCCAGGGATAATCTCACTTAATCCTGGTTGCATTTGGTTTGCTAATATTTTGGTGAGGATTTCTGCTTAATAAGGAATATGTTTAATAAGGATATTGGGTTGTCATTTTCTTATAATGTCCTTATCTGGCTTTGGCATGAGGGTAACGCTGGCCTTGTAAATGAGTTTGGAAATGTTCCCTCCTCTTCAATATTTTGGAAGAGTTTGAGGATTAGTGTTAATTCTTCTTTAAATATTTCTTATAACTCATCTGTGAAACCACGTGATTCTGGGCTTTTCTTTGTTTGGAGGTTTTGATTAGTGATTCAATCTTCTTACTTGTTATTGATCTTTTTTGAGGTTCTGTTTCTTCACAGTTCAGTCTTGGTAGGGTGTATGTTTCTAGGAAATTATCCATTTATTCTAGATTATCCAATCTGTTGGCATATATTTGTTCATAGTAGTCTCTTAGGATCCTTTTATGTCTGTAATATCAATTGGTTTTTTAAATATATTTTTTTAATTTTATATTTGAGAGAAGAGAGACAGAGCACGAGCAGGGGAGGAGCAGAGAGATGGAGACAGAATCTGGAGCAGGATTCAGGGCCTGCTGAGCCAGTCTGACACTCAACCCACTGAGCCACAAGGTGTCCCTGTAGCATCAATTGTAATGTCTTCTCTTTCAGTTATAATTTTATTTATTTGAATCTTCTCTCTTCCTTGGTTCATTGAGCTAAAGGTTTGTCAGCTTGGTTTATCTTTTCACAAAACCAACTCTTGGTTATGTTGATCTTTTCTATTGTTTTTCCAATCTCTACTTTATTTATGTTTTTCTCTAATCTTTATTTCCTTCCTTCTGCTAACTTTGGGCTTAGTTTGTTCTTTATTTTTTTTTCCCTGAAGCTCCTTCAGGTGTAAAGTTAGGTTGTTTATTTGAGATCATTCTTTGCTTTTTAATGTAGTGATTTATTTCTATAAACTCTTCTCTTATAACTCTTTATTTTTTTTAATGTTTTATTTATTTCTAGGAGAGAGAGAGACAGCGTGAGCAGGGGAGGGTCAGAGAGGGAGGGAGTCACAGACTGAAACAGGCTCCAGGCTCTGAGCTGGCAGTCAGCACAGGGCCCGACGCGGGGCTCGAACCCACGAACCGCAAGATCATGACCTAAGCGAAAGTCGGATGCTTAACCGACTAAGCCACCCAGGCGCCCCTCTTATAACTCTTTAAAGGCATTTGTATGTTGTTTCCACTTTCACTTGTCTCATGATATTTTTTTGATTTCCCGTTAGATTTCTTTTTGACCACTGGTTGTTCTGGAAAGTGTATTTAATTTCCACATATTTGTGACTTTTCCAATTTTCTTTCTGTTATCAATTACTAGCTTTATACACCTGTAATCAGAAAAGATACTTGATAGAATTTTGTTAAGACTTGCTTTGGCCTAGCATATGATGTAGCCTAGAGAATATTTCACGTGTATTAGAAGAATATGCATTAATCTGCTGTTGGGTAGAATGTTCTTTACATTCTATCAGGTCCACTTGTTCTATAGTGTTATTCAATTATACTGCTTCCTAATTGATTTTATGTCTGGATGATTTATATAATGTTTAAAGTGAGTTTTTTAAATCCCCCACTTTTATTGTATTGTTGTCTACTTCTCCATTCAGTTCTGTTAATATTTGCTTCTTATACTTAGGTGGTTTAATGTTAGGGGCATATATATTTACAACCGTTATAACCTCTTGATGAATTAACCTCTATCATATAGTGACTTGTCTCTTATGACAGTTTGACTTGAAGTCTATGTTTTATATAAGTATAGTCACTCCTGTTCTTTGGTTACCGTTTGTATGGACGATCTTTTTATCCCATTTATACACTGATGTGTATCCTTAAAACTAAAGTGGATCTCTTGTAGAAAGTATCTTGTTAGATCTTAGTTTTTTACACATCTGGCTACTCTGAATTCTTACATTCTCCAATTTAATCCATTTTTAGAATAAGCATTGATAGGTAAGGACTTGTGATTGCTATTTTGTTGCTTTCTGACTTTTTGTTATTCTTCCTTTCTTTTTCTGTTATTATTTTCCTTGTGATGTGTGTGTGTGTGTACGCTTTTATTCCTTTATCTTTTGTGTATCTACTAGAGATAGAGGTTTTTGCTTTATGATTACCATGAACATAAAACATCTTACAGTTCTCAACAGTGTATTTAACACTGACGACAACTTGAATTCAATAGCAGAAAAAATTCTATGCTATTACTACTGCCTCCCAACTCATACTATTGATGTCACACTTTACATTCCTCATATTGTATATTTATTAACAAAATATTTTAGCCTAGCTATTTTAATATTTTTTCTATTTTAACTAGATTTAAAAGTCATTATGCACCACCATTACAGTACTAGAGTATTCTGAATTTGACCATATTTTTACCTTTACCAGAGGTTTTTTTTTCCTGAAATAGTTTATTGTCAAGTTGGTTTACATATAACACCCAGTGCTCATCCCAACAAGTGCCCTCCACCATACCCATCACCCCCCTTCCCCTTTCCCCCACCCCCATCAACCCTCAGTTTGTTCTCAGCATTCAAGAGTCTCTCATGGTTCTTTACCAGAGATTTTTATGCTTTCATGTTTTCATGTGGTTACTTAATGTCCTTTCCTTTCAATTTGAGGAACTCTCATTTGCATATCTAGGAAGGCAGGTCTAGTGATGTTGAATTTTCTTTGTCTTGGAATGTCTCTTTCTTTCCATTTCTAAAGAACAGTTTGCTGGGTATAGTATAGTATTCTGTGTTGGCAGGGGTTTTTTTCTCTTTCAGCACCTTGGGTATATCATACCACACTCTCCTGGCCTACAAGGTTTATTTTGAGAAATCTGTGAATAGCCTTATGAGGGTTCCCTTGTATACAACAAGTTGTTTATCTCCTGTTACTTTCAGAATTCTCCCTTTATATTTGATTTAGACAATTTGATTATCGTATGTCTCAGGGTAATCTTCTTTAGGTAAATCTTGCTTGGAGTCCTTTGAGCTTCATAAGTCTGTATATCTATAACCCCCCCAAGATTCTGAAAGTTTTTAGTTATTATCTTTATATAAGCTTTTTGACCCTTTATTTCTTCTCCTTTGGGGACTCTCATAATACATATACTAACTCTTTTGATGGTATCCTATCGGTCCTGTAAGCTTTCTTTACTCTTTTCCATTCTTTTTTCTTTTTGTCCCTATAATTGAATAATTTCAAATCACCTATCTTTGAGTTCACTGGATCTTTTCCTGAATGATCAAGTCTGCTATTGAAGCTCTCTACTGAATATTTTAGTTCTGTCATGATATCCTTCAGTTCTGGGTTTTCTGTTTGGTTATTTTTTATGGTTTTTATTTCTTTATTACAGTCTTATTTTATTCATGCATTGTTTTCCTGATTTCATTTAGTTGCCTGTCTGTTCTCTTGCATCTTCACTGAACTTCTTTAAGATGATTATTTTGAAATTTTTGTCAGGCAATTTGTAGATCTCCATTTCTTTCACACTAGTTATTTAAGCTTTATTAGTTTCCTTTGGTAGTGTCATTTTTGCCTAATTTTTTGCCATCCATGTAGCCTTGTGTTTGCGTCTGTACATTTGAAGGAGCAAATACGCTCTTCCAGTCTCTGTTGACTGATTTGGTCAGGTAAAGAGTTTTCTCCTGTCAAGTCTCAGGGCTGATGGGATTGCCTCTGTGATCACAGGTGAGTGAAGAAGAACCAGGTCATGTGACAGCTTCTGGGCCTACAGTGGCATCTGTGGCTGGCAGGCCTTTTTCCAGGGTCTCAGGAAGGCATGGATACCATCTAGTCTCTGGGCAGGTGGAACTGCCTCCAGGACCTTAGTCAGTAGAGCAAATGCTGGGATAGAGGTTTATTTCAAGTTCTAAAGTTGAGTCTGCAAGTGGTAGGCGTGTTATTAGGTTTTGAAATGGGTATGGCTTCCATATGGCCTTTGAGAAGGCTCCCATCAGATCACTGTGTGAGTCCTCAGGTGGATAAGAATACAGTTGAGACAGCTGGAGCTGGGCTGCAGTGATGTTTCAAGATCTGCACTTGGACTGAGGTCTGCAGACCAGCCTTGAGGGTCATGAACAGGTGTGACTCCCTGAAAGTCCCAGAGCCAGCAGGACTATTCAGGACTGGAGCTGGTTACAGTGCCCCTTTAAGATCCATACTCAGACCAAGGTCTGTAGGCCACCCTTCAGGGTCATGGACAGATGTGACTTCTCCCAGGTCCCTTGGCAAGTGGTGCTTGTGTCAAAACGAAGACCCAGTGGGACTGTGGCTGAGTCCATAATGGGACAAGGCTGCTTCCAAGCTTGTAGCTGGGAGCACTATCAGCAAACCTACCTCCTGAGCACGATGTGCCTTCTAAATATATCCCTCCTTGGCCTTGGCTTCCGCTGAGAAGATTCTGGAATTTCTCAAATTCCTACCTGGATCCCAAAGCTTTCACAGAAGTACTTTTGTTTTTGATAGCTGTCAAATTACTATTGCTATGGAGGGATATGATCAGGGGACCTCCTATCTGCCATTTTTTTTCCTCCCTTGACTTCTTAGTATAAAAATACATCTTGGACAACTTTTATATTAGTTTAGAGAGAGTGTTTACAATCTCTTTTGAACACAGAGGCATAGTATTCCATCATACAGATGTGTCATAATTTATTAAACTAATTTCCTATTGAAAGACATTTTAGGTTGTTTCCAAACTTCTGCTACTACTAACAGTGCAAATATCTAGTACATACATCATTTCACAGGTGGAAACGTATTATCTATATAATAAGTTCCCAGAGTAAGATTGCTGGGTCAGAGGGTATATGCATTTATAATTGTGAGCATATGCATTTGTAATTGTGATACAATTCCCAAATCATTCTCTAGAATGGCTGTACCAATTTACTTTTCCACCAACGTGTGCTAGTGCCTGTTGACCGCAGCCTTGCCAATAGATTATATCATCTGCACTTGTGAGTCTGAGAGGTGGAAAACAGTATCTCAGTGAAGTTTAATTTGCATTTCTGTTATTGTGAGTGAGATTGAGTATTTCTCAAGTGTTTAAGAGCTATTTGCATTTCCAAATTTCTTACTCTTTCTGATACTTTTTCTAATCTACAAAATAAAAGCTGTTTCTAACTTGGAACATTAAAGTAAAACTAATAGAAAATGCTCAACAAGTGATAGTTGCTGTTACTAGTACTGCTATTACTACCACTACCACTACCACTACTGTTACTACTGCTGACGTCCCTTGGTGAGGTTAGAGTAATTCCACATTGATTTGTACAAAAAGACCTGAATCCAATACATGTATTCCCTTGAGAGATGTCAATTCATGACACTTCACCCCATGCATTTAGGCCCCTGGGACCTTTACACAGTAGTAAGAACCCTAAAACTCACTTGTCCATGTTCGCTGGTATTATAGGTGCATAGTCCCAAATGACTTCCTCTGCAGCAATGAAGTATTCCCATCTCTTAATGTGCCGCCTCTGGTCACGAGTTAGTTTCTTAGGATTCCTGGTTTTCTTTGCACAGTTTTCAATGTCTATATAAGCCTGCATCCCCGCTGAATTAGAATATAAGGACAGGGAGAGATTTTGAAAAAAGAAATTAAGGCTAGTCAAAATGTATATCTTTTAAATAATAACAGTAAAAGTAACGCCAAAGCAACTTCTGAACATTTTGGTCTAAAGTTCTTTTAGCACAGTAGAGAAAGGGACAAGAATAAAATGCAAAGGAAAGAGAGTATGGATTAGGGGAAAAACTTGGAAAGATTTCCTTTGTTTCTTTCAGAGGAAAAAAATGTAGTTTCCAGATTCTTAAAATCATATGACTCAGGTCTTGTTGATTTCTCATTTTCCTGGTCATCTGTCCCTTCATTTGTAAAATGGAGATAATAATAGTACATACTGTATAAAGTTGTTGTTAAAATTTAAAATTAAATAAGTTAAAATAAAAAGCACTTAACCTTAATAATGTTAGTTCTGTTGTTATTGTTTTATTATCATTTGGAACTTTTTCTAGGGCTATTATGACAACTTCACGATTTCAAATATAATTTTGACTGCTCAGTGTGAACGAGAAACAAAATGATCCCATCAAAGTGTCCCTTTCTTATGTGTCTGGCTTTTGTAAACATTGTTTTGGTAACAAAATAATTTCCTATAGATTATCATTTACTTACATTTTAGTCTCTGTTTATATAGACCTTCTTCCCAATAGTTTTTTTTTAACATTTATTTATTTTTGAGAGACAGAGACAGAGAATGAGCAGGGGACGGGCAGAGAGAGAGGGAGACACAGACTCTGAAGCAGGCTCCAGGCTCTGAGCTGTCAGCACAGAGCCCGACGCGGGGCTCAAACTCATGAACCAAAAGCTCATGACCTGAGCCAAAGTCCCATGCTTAACTGACTGAGCCTCCCAGGAGACCCTTTCCCAACAGTTTTAAAGCAACAGCGTGTAATAATAGAACAATTAGTTATTTTGTTTACATGATACCACATAACAACCTGGGCTGATTTTTTTTCCCCACCCAAATCAACTCATGTTCTTTAAATTCACTGGTCAGCTCGTTTAATTCTATGTTTTATCCATTAGACACACATCCATTGGGTCCCTTCTTGTGCCAAGCTTTGTATTCATCTTGTTATAAAAGATCATCTTTCTATGTTAAATCTTCTGTGCTTTCTGTAACTTAGCGCTTCTATAAACTTGCAGACCTGTTATTTGTTCTAGCACCTAGGTTTTGTTTTGTTTTTCTTTAGCTACATACTAAATGCCCCCAGGAAGATTAACTCTATGCATGTGTTTATTTCCTTCCTCCTTTTTCCTTTTGAGGAAGTAGAGCCCTCTTTAGCTTTTGCTTCATATTTAAAAATCTTTGCCAAATATCTCCACTTCCTCCATCCCAACTCATGCGTTATATGAAGTCTAAGAGGAGAATGACTAAATTCTGTATGTCTGGGGTATGGGTGGCTTGAAAGGGCAAAGGAGAATGAGGGAGTTAGTGCCTGGGAGGAAAGGATCCTATGTTCATAAGCAAAACTGTTGGAAGGGTTTCTTGCCTTGAAAATGTCTTGGGACAAGAGAAGATATGATCCACTTTCCCTTTGGGCTCATAGTCATGTTCGCGGTAGTAGACGTAGCACTGACAAGGGAGATGGCTGAGATCTTATGATGATTCTGCTCCAAGACCTGGCCGTTGAAGTGAATGGAGAACAGTTCTGGCCCAGAGCTCATTCCAATCAGATGCCAGCTAACATGGTCATGGGCACAAACGGTGATATCTGAGAGGGAGAGATGGGGAGTGAAGCAGGAAGTCAGCACTCCGTAATAAAACCATTCACTCATGAGATATGTACTGAGCACCTGCTATGCATCAGACATTGTTCCTGGGGATACAGACACTTCAGTTGTGGTTCCTGCCCTAGCAAAGCAGACATCTGAATGATGGGCAAACAACTGGTCACAACTCATTGCAATAAGTGGTATGTAGAGGTAAGAATAGAGCCCACAGATGGGTAAAGTTAGTTCAGAAAAAGAAGGATTGCTAAGGGATTAGGCCAAGGAGGGAACCAAGTAGGTACCCAACCATTCTGGTTCGCTTGGGCCTGAGGAGTTTCCCAGAATGCAGGACTTTTGTTGTTAAAACTAGGAAAGCCCTGAGAAAGCCTGGGCATCTGGTCACTCTAGAATCAATCTGGGCTCATTTGGAAGGAGCCAATAAGGCTGAGTTCAGGGGACAAAACTTCTCAACTGGATAGAAGTCAAAGCTCTGCCTAAGAGAGATGGACGATGCTTTAAGAAATCTTTAATCACTTTTTAAACCACTTGTTGACTGTTTAAATGACCAGGCAATGAATTACTCTGTAGGATACAGGATCTCCTTAATGCAATGGACAAGTCTTCATTATGCCAGGCCACTAGGAGCATTTAATGGATGAAGTAATAAAAATTGAGAATAAAAGCTGAGTTTTGCTCCTTCTTTGTGCTCACAGTGACTGAGAACATGCTAATTTGCTCCGTGGGAGATTCTAAGCCTGGCTTCCATCCTTGGTTTGAGGTTTAAATTTCAGATTCCTAATCACTAGATGCTACATTATAGAGCTAAGAATCAGCCCTTTACCCGCAGAGAGACTGAGGGGCCTGTATTTTTTAGGAGACCATTGTAACCAGGCAAGGATTCCTGGTATCATGGATGAGAACAAGAAGCTAGGAGCTGCAAGAAAAAAGCTTGAAGGTAGGAGGCTTTGATGGAAGTATTTATCCACCCCACCAAAAAATGCTTATGCTGAATTAAGCATTTGATAACATCTTATTAGCATTTATCATATATTTAATTTACCATGCTCCAAAAGACAATTGCATAGCATTAACTTTTCTCAGTTTCTACTAATGGCCCCCTATCCTGCCTCTCTTAAGCCCCAAATACTTTTTTTTACTATAAATTCATAAACTCTATGCCCTGACCAAGTTATTCATTTTTTGCATATAGCTTGCTTTTGTTTGACTCCTATACATTTACACGAATGATTCCCTCTGCCAGGACACAGATACAATGTCTCCTTGACCACTCCTCTCTAAGGATTATAGCACTGGAAATGCTATTCTATATGTAAAAAAAAAAAAATCCTCCACACCCTCTGCACCGGGATAAATGGTTGATCCATTTTTGTTAATGAGCACAATAACACAATGTCCAAGGGCCACACTAAGCTACAGAAGTGAGCAAGGCTTGAACGCAGATCTCCTAAGAGAGAGGGCAATTAACTAAGTTTTGGAACTCTGAATGGAGAAACCAGAATCATCTGAGTATGTTTGTAATAACCCAGGTGGGAAGACAGAGTCAAATGCAACAGAATGCAATTTAAAAGCAATATCCAGACCCCTACTCTTGACAAGTGTGACAAGTTCTGCTTTTGGTAAGGAAAGCCACTTGTGATTTTCAGATAGAGAAAATGACCTCTGAGAAGCTTACTGTTTTGAAGAGTGGATTGATTTGATAAAATAATTTTTTCATGTTTCCATCCTTTTTCCTCAGTATCTTTGATTCTAAGTCATTTCCATCAGAAGGTGGAAGAAGTTTGGATGGGAATCAGTTTTGTTGCTTTTCTTTCTCTTAATAGTTGCTATGATTTTGCTTTTCCCACAAGAGTCTCCATACAAATGGAAATGCCATTGACAATTACTCGTCTGTCACCTTGTGGAATGCTAGTAGTGGTTTCGTGTGGGGGGCACTTATCTCAATCTATCCCCCTTCACTGTAAGAATCTTCCTTGTTTTTCTGTTGACCCTTCCTGCCAGGGATTGACCTTGAATTTCTTTTTGTAAGGCTTCCTCTGTGGAAGAAGGCATGGCCACCGTGCAGCAGGGACCACAGAACTCACTGAAGGAGACTGAGCTACTATCTTGGAGGTCTTCCTGGAGGCACAGGCCAAGGTGAAACCTGCTCAGAACCTTGTATATAATAAGGCTGCACACTCTTTCTCCCAGGTAGCTTCCAATTGTTTGTTGTATTTGTTGTAAGAAAAAAAAGGATGGTAGAATCTGGAGAACCACTGAATTAGATTACATTGTTTTTCTGATGAGGGGTTGAAAAATTGTGAATATGAGTATGGTCAACTTCCATGGGGCGTTGAGGAAAAGAGTGGGACCAAATGGTTTATTAATGGTTCTGCCGTGGTTGGATAGCGCCCACGTGTTACCTGGCATTGTCCCATTCACGTAACCATTGACTGTGTACATTAAAGATGATGACTGGCTCCAGCTCTTGCTTTCATCAAACACAGCAAACATCAGCACATGCTGTTTGTCAAACATCTTCTGAATCCCATCCTCAGTTAGGGTGCCTATGAAAGAAAAGACGTAGTTTTTAATAGCATCCCAGACAGAGGACTCTCATTAGGTATTCCTAGATAGGAAAAAAATCTAAGGCAAATAATCATAATGATACTTTAAGAAATTCTTATTTAAAAAAATAGTACCTTTGTAAAGTAATAATGACTAGAAACTTATTAAAATCCTGATGCCACACTAAGCATTTTTTTTTTTTTTGATACCTCATAGCCTTGAGGAATGAGGATTTAATGGTAAATTTGATCTGCACAGAGAAAAAACATTTGGGACTGTCAAGGCTTTAGTAACAGTATTCATTTCCTCCAGTATCAACAAGCCAATAAATAGGTATTTTAGCTCAGCTGGCAAAGTACATTTCAAGTTTAATACAGCCATCTTGCCTGTACATGTAGTGAGGCACTAGATCAAGATTAATCCATTCTCATGTAAGGAAGAAATGTAAATGACAGTAAAATGAAAGAAGAGCTTTTTTAAGTTTGAAATATTCTTTTCAGAGCCATCACAGTATCTTTGATATGCCAGGCGATGAAAACATGTATTTATGTAGTGAATAAATGAATTAGAATATGTATATGTGGTATGTATGTATATATGGTATGCGTGTATGGATAGGCAGATGGTGAATCTATCACATTACTTCCCACAGTGCAGTTCGTTGTGGTTGTTTTTTGTTTTAATGAAAGATGGGCTGAATTATTTTGGGGTGTAAAATGAAAATTCATGCTTGCTCCTAAGCCCAGCTGATGAAATCTTTTATAAAGTCAATTGAATATCTTTGAAACCTGCCACCCAAAATGTTCAGTTTGCTTATAAGAAAGGAAGCTGGAGTTTTGTGTGTTCGTATCCCAAATTACCAACCTAAACCACAATAACATTAGTCTAAGTTCTTTCCAAGTACTCTCAGCAGCGTATAGGCTGCTGTACACTTTCAAAAAGACTTGGCCTTGAGGTAAATGTTATGGATCACACAGGCTTGGCATCATAACATGCTCTCAGACAGATGTTAACTTGGGAGAGTCTCCCAGGACTGAGATGAAGGAAGAATTAGAAGAAGCAGGAAGACTCGAAACCCTCAGATAAGAATATTAGGCAAAGAGCTGGTGTCCACGCCCTTCTCCTTTTGCCTGATTTACAAAAAGGTATCAAGATTCTCTCAAGCCTCATTCCATGAGAGCACTTCTTACCGTTTCAGCATCTTAAGTGTTGCTGATTTTTTTTTTTTACCTTTCTTACAAATAAGCAGAGGTCCAATTAGCCCAGAGTTGAAGTCCTGTACCAAATTTTCATAGGAGTAATAGATGTGTGTGAGGCACGGAGGGTCATTGTGTGTGGGCCCGCTGTCCTCAGTGATATTCCACTCATAGGTATATTCCTGGCCTGGAGCTATAACATCATCCAGCTTTTCCACAGGGAATGTGTAGTCAGAGTAAGAAGCACCTGGAGAAGAACAGCGTGAAAACATCTGGACAGTATCTGAGGACTGATTTTTCATCATCTTCAAATATGGGGAAACATAAGATCTTCTCTACAGAGATGTATATACCTTTCTACAGTGAACCTTTATTAGTTGGAAAGATTCACATATACCCACTTCTATGTCTATGCAGTTGTAAAGGTTTTGCATCCATAGTGTTCTGAGGTGAATAAAAAAATGTTACTAGTATATTTTTGTTAAGGTTTAAGAAGATAATTTTACAAGGCATCTAAATGATTATTAAATAAAATCAGAGAGCTGAATCACCTTTGATCAGTAAATCATCTCAGGATATGAGAATAGGTTCTATTTCTATTTTCTCTGTGGTGCTTGATAAGACATCTTCCATTTAACTGTCTATAAGCATGGGATGGAAATACACTCAGAGCAGTTTCCATATCGTTTTGTTTTTCTTCTGTATTTCATACCTTCTTTCCAACCTCTGCCACCCTCAGCCCTGTTTGATTGCTGTATCATACCTCCACCATCTGATCGCTTTCCCCAGAGCCTCTGAGTCCAGCTCCTCTATGCTGTCTAGCTGCCCTTGTGAGTATCAAATGGGTCTATCTTCTCAAGTTTAGATGTCTTACTCCTGTCCTTTGTGTGCCTGAAGACTGACCACTAACATACATACTTGGCTTATGTACTTGGCTTTCCAGACTGGTGGGGGATTAGGAAGATGTAGAAACTGGTCTTCCTTGTTGAAGAGAGGGAACTAGGGTTCTGAAGATGAAAACAGGTGCAGAGGGTGGGTCGTGCAACAACGAAAGGAAGATGTGGCCAGAGATGGAGCAAAGGAGGTCAGGAAGGGGAGAGGTCAGTGTGGTAGACAGCCAAGTGTATGAGGTGTGCTGCATTTAATTAGGTGAAGGTTTCACTATCACTATCTGGTGCCAGAATTTCTCTCGTGCAATGCAACAGCTTGACAAATTTGAGGTGGAAGGGAGACCATCAGAGTGTAGACGCTGGCAGACAATGAGGATCAGGAAAAAGGGCTAAAACATTCTATGTGATGGGGTAAAGGGCCAATGCAAGTTATTCTTACTGAAGTGACTGTGCTTTTTGAAAACAAAGGATTGATTTCTTCCCTTCCATTCTCTTTCCTTGTTCCTTTTCTTCTTTTCATTCCTTCTTCCCTCCCTTCCTTCCTCTCTCTTTTTCTGCCTCCCCCCCTCTCTTCCTGATATCATCTTCATTGAAATGTAAACTGCATACAATCAAATCCACCAATTTTAAGTAGAATGTTTGCTGAATTCTGACAAATGTATATAGTTGTATAGCTACCACCACAATCAAGGTACAGAATAGTTCCATCACTCAAGAAGGTTCCTTGTCCATTTCCAGTCAGTGCCTTCCCTTACCCTCTGGGCCCAGCAGCTACTGATCTCAGTTCTGTCACTATATTTTTCTTTCCTATAAAGTCATACAAATGGAAAAATACATCATACACACCCTTGTGTTTGTTAGTGTTAATGTAGTAGATCTTCTTCTCTTTTACTTTGTCCTGTCTTTGTCTTTAAAGTGGGTTTCTCAAATTCAGCATATAGTAGGACATTTCTTACTTGTAGTGTTCTGCCCATTTGCTTATAATGTAATTATTGACATGGTTGAGTGTAAGTCTACAATCTTGCTCTTGTTTTCTATTTATCGATCATGTCTTTATTCCTTATCTTTCTTGCTTTCTTTGGGATTGAGTATTTTCTTATAATTACCTTTTATCTCCACTATTATTTTATTAGCTTCACTTTGTTTTATTAGTGGTGCCCTTCAGTTTACAAGACACAACTTTAACACCTCAGTCAACCTTCAAATAATATATCATTTCACTTATAAGAAATTTGCAATAGAATATTTCCATTTCCTCCCTCCCAGCCTCTGAGCTATTGTGTATTGTGCACAAATTTTGCTTTTGCATATATAATATACCCTATAACAAATTGCTATTATTTTTGCTTTAAAGTTTGGTAATTGATTATCTTTTCAAGAGATTTAAAATAAGGAAGAGTTTTCTTGAGATTTACCCATTTCTCGAGCTTTTTATTGCTTCTTGTGGATCCAAATATCCTTTTAATATGATTTCTTTTGTGACTAAAAGACTTCCTTTAACATGTTTTTCTGGTCTGCCAGTGAGAAATGATTTCTTCTTTCCATGCCTAAGACAGTCTTTATTTTGTTTGTTTAAAAGAATACTTTTGCTTGGAATAAAGAGTGGACAAATGGCTCTCCCCTCCCCCGCAACAGTACTTAATTTTTTTTTAATGTTTATTTTTGAGAGGCAGAGAGAGACAGAGCATGAGCAGGGGAGAGGCAGAGAGCAAGGGAAACACAGAATCTGAAGCCAAGGCTCCAGGCTCTGAACTGTCAGCACAGAACCCAATGCAGGGCCTGAACTCACAAACTATGAAATCATGACCCGATTTGAAGTCAGAGGCTTAACTGACTGAGCCACCCAGGCACCCCACCCCACCCCAGTACTTTAAAGGTATCGTTAATTGACCTCTGGCTTGTACTGTTTCTAATGATGTCTGCTGTCATTCTTCTTTTTGTTTCTCTGTTTTTTTGTTTTGAGTGCTTGTAACATTTTCTCTCTCTCGTTTTTTTTTTAATATTTTTATTTATTTCTAGGAGAGAGAGAGAGAGACAGCGTGAGCAGGGGAGGGTCAGAGAGAGACGGAGACACAGACTCTGAAATAGGCTCCAGGCTCTGAGCTGGCAGTCAGCACAGAGCCCGATGTGGGGCTCGAACCCACGAACCGTGAGATCATGACCTAAGCGAAAGTCGGAAGCTTAACCGACTAAGCCACCCAGGCGCCCCTCTCTCTCGTTTTTAAAGTTAGTCAAATTTAGTAGTAGGGGTGTATACCAACCTTAGTGACACTAATGTTAATAAGTTTGATAACCCACTACCATCAGACCAACCAACATTTTCTCTTTATCACAGGTCTTAGCAATTTAATTATGATGTGCTTTGGAGTGGTTTTCCTCATGTTTCTTCTTCTTGGTTTTGTCAAGCCTTTGTAAGTTTATAGTTTCATCACTTTGGGTAATTTTTCATCCACTATTTCTTTAAAATTTCTTCTGTTCCTCCCCATTCTAGGATCCCAATTACATATATGTGATGTCACTTGATATTGTCCCATAGCTTAGTGATGCTCTGATCATTTTGGTCAGTCTTTTCTGTCTTCATGATTCATTTGGATAGTTTTTATTGCTATGTATGGTATTTTCTAATATTTTCTTCTACAGTGCTGTTAATCTCATCCAGTGTACTTCCCATTTCAGGTATGGTATTCATTTGTAAAGCTTTTACTTATGTGTTTTTATACTTTCTGTCACCTCTCAATCATGCTCTGGAGCATATGGAGGATATTTATAATAGCCTGTGTCAATGTCTTTGCTTGCCAGTTCTATCATTTCTTTTGTCTCTGGATCTGTTTCTTTTGATTAAGTATTTTTTTGGATGTGTGTAGTACTCTTCTGGCTTCTTTTAATGCTTGTTAGTTTTTATTAACATCGTGAGTTTTACAAGTTGGTTGCTGGATTTTATTGCATTCCTGTAACTAATAGTGAGTTTTATGCTTGTCACCTCCAGAGCATCCTAGACTAATGTTATCCAACTCCTGTGCCTTCTGCTGATTCTACCTCTACCCAATGCCCATTAATTAGGAGGTCTTGCCACTTTTGATGATGGGAACATAAACTATGTTTATGTGTATGGTCCAGGGACTGTTCTGCCTGTTTCTTTCTGTTGGTATTTTCTGTACCTTCAATACTTTCCTCACATGCATGTGCAGGTCAGTATTTAGTTGAAGACTCGATAGAACCTCTGTTGTAGATTTTCAAGAACTCTTTCTTTATGTCTACACCATCCTCTTCAGGATTCTATCCTATAAATCACAAGTTCCAGTCACTTTGGCCTACCAAAAGTCTCTGTTTCCTTAACTCAAAGAGACTGTTGAGCTCACAATGAGACTGTCACCCTCTTTGTGCTATGCTCTGGCAACTCACTCCAGGCAATGAGCTTGAGTACTCATGGGGCCCACCTCATCTGTTATTCTCATGGAGGATTCTCTTGTATTGTCTGTTCTTCAATGTCTGAAAACTGCTGTTTCATATATTTTGTCTGCCTGTCTAGTTGTTAAGGAAAAGGGTAAATCTGATAGCTCATTTCCAAAAGCCAAAGTTTGAGATGTTAAATTTCTACACAGAATATTTTACACTGCAGCAGAGTCAGCCACCCTTGTTTAACTGTCCATCATCAGGAAAATCTATTCTACTCACAAACACTCATGTGACTGCACGGCATCAGCATATTTTTGGGTTCTCCAGATGAGAATGGGAAATAGGCATATGCATCCATCATTAGTGAGGCATGCAGGCCTAGCAGCCACATGCATTACTGTACCACATAAGGTTCTGAGCATGGAAGCCATAAGATAGAAGAGTTGAGCAGGTATATCTAGATTTACTTATGTATCTCCATAGGACAGAGCATCATCTTTATATGCATGGGAGAGAAAATGACCAAACTTGAAAGAATGCTATAGTCATGATATCAGCCTTACAGACAGGAAACAAAGATGGATTTTAATGCTCTCAGAAGCTGATGGTTGAATGCTGGTGATTAAGCTGGTGGCATATGGAAAAGAAGACTAGTTATGGCTGGACCACACAGTCTTCACTAAAGACAGGAAACTGAATCAAGTTTCTACTCACTCAACATAAATCCAGCTGTGTTAACTCATTCTGGAAAACTTTTAAGTGTTGTCTTACCAATAGGATAAAGTCCAAGTTTGTTACCATGGCAGCTGAAGTAATTTATGAGTTTTCCCAGTATACCTATCCAATGTCATCTCCCTCCATACCTCTACGCTGTGTGCATTTGTACTCCAAAAGCAACCTACTGCCTCCAAAATATATCCCAAATTTGCACTCTTCTCTGTATCTTTACTGCCATCACTCC